CTGTGACAAAGAGTCAACTTCTCAGAAATGATGGTGGTAAAGGCAATGGGAAGGGGAATTTGCCTCACATCCAGCTGGTGCGTGCGTGTGTGTGTGTGTGTGTGTGTGTGTGTGTGTGTGTTTTGCTTCCTTACCAAAGCTCCTTGGATGAGGAAATCAACTCCGACCACATCATCACTTCTAGAACATCACTGTTTGCACAATTTGTAAGTGAGTCAACAATTTTAACCCCTGAAGATTAACCCCGTGCACTGCCCTCAAAGAAATCTCCCCGGCAAGGCAGCCAAGTACTGGGGCTCGAGTGCTCTTTGTACCTTGCAGTTTCCCAGAAAGTGACTAGTGTTGGAATAACAGAGCCACTAAGTTCTGCCCTAGGTCATGTACACAATTAAAAATTAAAAAAAAAGACTTCAAGAAGCCACTGCTCATGAGTGGACAGAGCTGGCCACTGCCTCCCGCATGGATGTGTACCAGTAACAATCACCAGCTGGTCAGAAAAAGCGAAGAGGGTGGGTGCATGTGGAGGGGACGAGTGACCACCCCTTCAGGGGTGGATGCAGGACACTGGGACCCTGGCTGTCACCCACAGCTTTAGCTGTGGCAGAGAGGTCAGTGTGAAGAGGGAAGATGTCCAGGTTTCTGGGGGAGATGAGACAGAGGACGGACACTGGACACCACTGAGGACTAAAACAAACCACCAGAGTGGGTGTCTTGGAGTAAAATAATGAATTTCCCTGACCGGGAATCGAACCCGGGCCGCGGCGGTGAAAGCGCCGAATCCTAGCCACTAGACCACCAGGGAGTACAAGAATGGTACTTGGACCTCCGACTTGCCTCCATGGACCTGCCCAGTCCCGCAGACCCAAAGGGGCACCTCAAGGTTGGGGAACGTGTCCCCCATACCCAAGGGAACCCAGTGCCAAGCCGAGAGTGACCCTGATACAGGGAGGCGACGCTCTTGGCGCAGGTGGGAGGGACCCATCTCGCCCCGCGCGCTCCACCAGCCGCTGAGAGTGGCCTTGAGCCACCTGGGCGGTGTCAGGATGGCCGAGCGGTCTAAGGCGCTGCGTTCAGGTCGCAGTCTCCCCTGGAGGCGTGGGTTCGAATCCCACTCCTGACACAGTTCCTTTTTCTCCCCGCATCCCTGCCCACTGCCCGGGGTGCAGGAGCCTTGAAAGTTTTGCGGATGTTTCCAGGAAAGCACAAACGCCAAGACAGCGGCCTTGGGGCCCAGAGTGAGGTGAGCGCACTGGTGCACCAGATTTGCAATCTGCATCCCCCTGGACGTTGGCCTCCCAGGGGCGTCTGGGTCCAGAAGACGCAGGTTGTAGCGTCCCCTGGGTCCCCTCCACCCGTGTCCCAGATACTCTGCACACTCCCAGAACGCCCCTCAGTCTCGTGATGCAGAACCCACAGTGGAGACTTGGAGTACAGGAATCTGATTCCCAATCCCAGGAAATAGGGTACTCGGAGCATGGGTGGTTCAGTGGTAGAATTCTCGCCTGCCATGCGGGAGGCCCGGGTTCGATTCCCGGCCCATGCAGTGAAGTATGTTTTGCTTCAAACTTTCAGCTGTGCATTGGACTCCCAAGACCCCATCGGAGACCTGCATCCTCCGAATACTTAACAGCCTAATTTTAGCTATTTTTTTTCTGTCTTTTTTTTTATCCTTTGGGGGTGTGGAGTGGGTGGGGATATCGCTGCCCCCGCCCCTGATAACAGGCGCCTGATGGTGGGTGACACTTCTGCTCGGTGGTACCCAGCCAGATGTGAACCTCCTAGGATGCACCTCCAGAAGGCTGAACAGATGCATGGGTGGTTCAGTGGTAGAATTCTTGCCTGCCACGTGGGAGGCCCGGGTTTGATTCCCGGCTCATGCAGTGAGTAGAATATTTTGTGAAGGACGCTGACATTTTTGGGTCTCCTTTCCTCCCGTGGACCACTAACGGCTTCATTCTCCCCAGTTCATTTTTCATCCTTGGCACCGCAGTTGGGTATCTATCCACAGGTAGGGGTGCACCTGGGGCGGGATTGTCCACTGAGGAGACCTCCTGGTCTGGGGGAAGAGCCAGCGAGGCCAAAAGAAGCTGGGCTCCACGCGGCGTCAGGGTCAGAGCTCTGTATGAATTGTACAGGGCGAGAGGGAAATGATGTTTGCAGGGCGACAGAAGAAGAAAAATAAATCACTTCCCTGACCGGGAATCGAACCCGGGCCGCGGCGGTGAGAGCGCCGAATCCTAACCACTAGACCACCAGGGAGTGTATAAGACTTGCTCCGCGTGTCCAGATGGATGCTGTGCCCAGCTACTTGGGTCCCGTCAGGTTGTGCACTGAGCCGGGTTTCCCTGGGCATCCCTGGGCATCCTCGCGCCTGGTGTCCTGAGTTCCCGCGTCCCCGCGCCCGGCGCCCTGGAACGGGGCTCTGGCCCCGCCCCGGGAGCATCCACTGCGCGCAGGGCGCACGGAGGGACCCGTCTGGCCCCGTGCGCTCTGCCGGCTGCTCTGTGTGACCAAAGGACATCGCCAAAGGCGTCAGGATGGCCGAGCGGTCTAAGGCGCTGCGTTCAGGTCGCAGTCTCCCCTGGAGGCGTGGGTTCGAATCCCACTCCTGACACAGTTCCCTTTTGCCTGCTCTTCAAGTCTGCCCGGTTGGGTGAGAAACGCCCTTGGAACGGGAGAGAGGAACAGGCTGATGGTTTATACCCCTGGTGGCAGGTGTGCAAACCCCTAAAGCCACCAGCTCACAGGTGCTCTGACTTGGCTGTGTTCAACATACAACCGGTTCTCCCAGTGCTCTGACCTGGGTGTGTTTGACCTACAACCGGTTCTCCGGAGCAGCTGACCTGTGACAGGGTTTGACCCTGGGGCATCAGCCCCTGGGCCTCGGTTGACAATTCCCAGCTCTGATTTTGCATAAGACTGTGGAGAGGGGACAGCTGAGGACAGGGTTCAACCCAGGCGCCAAGGAAATTAAGAGGCGGGCTCAGGGTTCAATCCGGGTCCCACCTGGGGCTCTGGGCTCAGGGAAACGTGGAGAATGTTCCCTGGCTGGGTCTGAACTCTCGGGAAGACCCGGGGAATGTTCCCTGGCCCCTTCCTTCTCCACCGCACAAGCAGACCCCTGCTAAAGAATCCGGAGATTTCCAGGAGAGATAGCGGGTCCTGCGTCAGCCAGCCCGGCTCAGGCCATTTATTGGCCTCTGGTGCCCACCAGTCTGGAATGGCCCCGGCTCTTCCTGTCCCCGAGGCGCTGGCGGTCAGTGGTCAGAGCTGGACGCCCGGCTGCAGCCCACGCCTCAGAAGCGTCCGCTTGTCTTCTGCTATCTCCTGGGGCGGCCCGGGACCCTGATATCGGGACATTATCATTGGCAAGCCCTTCAGTGCAGACACCCCAGCTTGGGCACTCGACACTCGAACCCTGAGCCAGACGCTCTCCCCAGGTGGGGGCGGGCGTTGGGGTTTCCCATGACACCGAGTTTTAGCATCTCAGGGCAGGGTTCGGGCTGCTTCTTTCTCCATCAGCGTCTCCCCTCACACCTTCCTCCCACCCGCTTCTCCTGGGAAGATGGGACACGTTGGTGCTTCTGTCTCCCGCCCCCCGCCGCCCGGGGTCCCCCGCACCCCCAATCTCCCTCCGTCAGCACACATGATGCAACGGAGTCACTCACTCTTGAACCGCTGACCCTGTCCCCGTGGGTGAGGAAACTCACTGACACGGCTGTTGTCACCCCTCAGTTCTGCCGAGACCCCCACCCCCTCCAGCCTGCCCACCGGGGTTCCCGGAAGCCGTGCATTCTGTTTGTTGGGGGGGGCAGTGCTCAGGGCTCTGTGCTCAGGGGTCGCTCCCGGCAGGGCACGGGGAACCGTGGGGGGGACCGGGGATTCAGCCTGGGTCAGCTATGCGTGAGGTCAGTGCCTTCCCCGCTGACTGACCTCTCGGGACCCACCTTGTAAACTGTTTTAAATGTCCTGATGCCAGCTGGGGGGTGTGGCTAGGGTTGGGACAGGGCCAGAAGACCCCCGCCCCAGCATCGGGTGGAGTGGGGAGCACGTGGGCTGCGGGCCAGTTTTAACAGAGTCATTTCCTGGGGTTTGGCAGCTTCCGGAAGGAGGCTTTGATGTGAGGGAGAACTTTGGCTGCGGGGGCCTGAGGGGCAGAGGTGACACCCGCCTACACACACACAGACACACACCCGCTTTCCACAAGCAGCGCCTCTGCCGGCCAGTGCCCTGGCCTGTGAGTGACCCGCAATGCGGGTGGCCAGGCGCTTTGGTTAAGTTCATTTTATCACCAGAGTTGGGGATGGGTGACCCCCACCACATCCTGCAAAGCACGGCGGGTCCCTGGGCAGCAGATGGGGGAGGGGGGAGACCTGCAGCCAAGTGGAAGTGAGGAAAAGTCACAACTCCCTGCGGCGAGCGGAGGACAAGGTGGGTCTCTGGCCGGCCACTGTCTCCCCAGACCCAAGGGGAGGACTTTGGTGCCTGGATATGGGGGTGTCCACACTTATTGGGGAATAAGGGACATGCATGTGGGACCATGAGGATGAGGAGGTCACGGGCTGGGGTGGTCCCGAGGGCGTCATGGGCTGGGGTGGTCCTGAGAACGTCACAGCCGGGGTGGTCCTCAGGGTATCACAGGCTGGGGTGGTCCCCGGGACTTCAAGAGCTGGGGCGGTCCGGAGGGTGTCCGGGGCTGGGGTGGTCCTGAGGCCAGGAGCCTTAGCTGCAGAGTCTGGGACCAGGCCCCCCTCCTGTGGCCCCTTGGGGACCAGGGCTGAGGGGGGCCGTGGGGGCCTGGCCCCGGTCCCCAGAGGCCCTGCACACAGAAGGAAGGGCGCGTCCTCCAAGGAAGCCGGCACCGGACAGACGCGGTTCCCGGTTCCAGAATCCAGGGCATGGAGTGGCCCTCTGGGACTCCCGGGCGGGCAGGAAGAGGGGGCGGGGGTGGGGGGGTTATAATAAAGGATCCGGGCGCTTCCTCTTTGGCGCGACTCGCCGGGCCGGTCGAGAGCCAGCCCGTGCGCTGGGAGAACTCGGCCGGGGTCATGGGGAGCTGCCCGCGGGGCTTCCCACTGCCGTGGGCAGTCCTGCTGCTGGGTGAGTGGGGGCCACCTCCCCGTTGTCAGCACCCGGCGAGTGAGCGCAGCGGAGATTGTTGGGGTGGGGGGGAGGTTCTGCATTAGCACCCAGGTGTGCTACAGCCCCGTCACAGCCGGGGCTGATTTCAGGATGCAGAGATGGACGCCTGGTCCAGGGGCTTGTTAGTGGAGCGCATCGAGGCGTACGGGGGAGGGGCGAAGGGGAAAGAGAGGGGAGGGTCTTCTCTGACCCATACCCCTCACTCCTGCGTGAGCGTGCCCGGAAGGAGCCCTGGGCTCAGGGTTCTGCAGCAGAGCATAGAGGGAAAAGTCGGGGGTCAGGGTGCATGCGATGCAGGAACCTTCTGGACCCATCCCAGTGATGGACCTGGGGCCAGGACCTGGCACGTGGCTGGGCCGGGATCTGGGCCCCCAACTCAGTGCCTGGTTTGCTCCCCTTCATGGGCGCAGCCCGCGGGGAGCCGGGCCGGGCCAGGAGGCTGGAGGGGCACTTGTGGTTTGGTTTCAATTTCCTCCGTTGGGGGCGGGGACCCTGTTGGGCCACCTCTGCTGGGGCACAGGGCTGACTCCTCCTGGCTCTGCACCCAGGGATCACCCCTGGCTGTGCTCCGGGACCTTAGGGTCTGCCGGGGATGAACGCAGCTGCGCCGGGTGCCAGGCTAACCCGCTGCCCGCTGGACTGTGGGTCTCGCCAGCTCCCTACCTAAGCGTGGTGGGGGTCCCAGGGAGGGGACTCGGGGGTCCTGCATGCAGAGCCGTTACTCAGCCCTGTGAGCCTTTGAAAGCCCTGGGGGTGCCTGAGCAGGGTTAGGGAATATCACCGCGGGGCGCGTTCTGGGGCTTTCTTGGCGCACGGCGGGGCGGGACGGGGCACGACGGGGCGTCTCCTGGACCCTGCCAGGTGCCCAGGGACACACCCCCCCAGGTATGTCCGAGCTGGGCACTGCAGGCAGGCGCTTCTCCGTGGGGCTCCACCCCAGACCCATTTCTCCGCTTCTCTCTTGCAGCGCTCCAAGCTGGGACGTCCGGTGAGCAAATCCAGCCGCCCCGCGCAAGACCCCCCAATCCGCCGCCCCCTCCAGGAAGGAGGCTCCGGGTGTGGGTTCTCGTTGCCCCCGGGAACCGTGACACCGCAAGCCCCAGCAAACACACCTCAGTCTGCGGTTGCCTGGCGCCACGTGGGGGGCTGCGTGTGCGTTTGGCGTGTGCGTGGTCGGACGGAGGCGCAGCGCCTGTGGGTGTTTGCATGCGTGCATGTGCACGCATGTGTCTGGTGTGCGTGTAGGTGTGGGTGGTTCCCTGCGTGCCTGTGTATCTCCGTGGGGCATGCGTGCGTCCCCAGTGCTGTGGGCATACGCATATGTGTATGGGGACGTGTGCATGTGTGCGTGTGTGTGTGGTGTGTGCAGAGGCTTGGCACAGACCTGAGAGAAGGTGTGTTGGGGGCTGGGCCAGGTGTGGGGGCTTCTGGGGCGGTTTCTTCCCTCTGCCCCTCAAGCCTGCCCGGCCCCAGGCCCTCTCTCGGGGGAGACCCTGTTCACTAGCATCCTCCAGATTGGCAGAGACGGGGCAATGGGGGTCCTGGCAGGAGCTGGTGGTCGTCTATGCATCTGTGGGGGCTCAGGACCCCTCAGTGGGCAGCCCGTGACCCCTGGGGTGGGACAGGAGCATCTCACCCACCATGGGCAGGATGGATGCTGGAGACGGCGGCCCCTCCCCCAGCCCTGGGCTTCCTGGGGGTCTGTGCCGGATGCCAGCCCTCTGGGATAGCAGCAACGGAGACCCTGGGTGGGGAGAGGAGTCTGGGGTCAGGGTGAGGCACGGTCAGTGCTCCTGAGGTGTCCCCCTCCCCCTGCAGAGCTCCCCAAGGCCGAGGTGACCCTTGACCCCCCCTGGATCAACGTTCTCCGGGAGGACCAGGTGACACTGCGCTGTGAGGGCCCCCAGGGCCAGGAGGACCCCAGCACCCACTGGTTCCACAACGGTAGCTCCGTGGGCGCCGAGGGCCAGCACAGCCTGAGTTTCCAGGCCACCAGCGAGGCCAGCGGGAACTACAGCTGCCAGACTGGCCACAGCCGCCTCAGTGACCCCGTGCGGCTGGCCGTGGTCTCGGGTCAGTGGGGTCGCTTGGCAGGGGCCCTGTGCAGGCAGGGGACGGGGGGTCGCCAGCAGGAGACGGCCCGCGCTGGGCTGGGGACTGGGGGCGGGCCAGTGGTGACTCAGACCCCACCACGGTCCTTGCGAAACCCGTTTACGCCAATTGGGTCCAGGAAGGCGTGCGTGTGCTCGGTCCACGGGCACTGTCCTTTGAGGAAGGAAATGTGCCAGGCTGGGGGGCGCTGGTCTCATGGCCCTGGTGGGGGCCACCCAGGCGGGGGGCCGCTGAGATGGGGGGACCCCCAGTTTGGGCTAAGTTGGGGTGGCCGCGGAGTTGAGGGATGCCAGGGTGCACACCACACTTCCTCTGGGCACAGGGGAACGCCCCGTGTGCGGGGAACCTCACCTCCGACACGGAACCACAGAAGCCAGCGACTCTGTCCTGGGGGCCGTACTCTCGGCTCTCTGAAGTCTCTCTGTGGACCCCCGAAGCACAGCCCTGCAAGGAGGAAGAGTTTCTGCGGCCCCCAGGCTGGAGGGGCGGGGCGGGAGGGCAGAGGGCGGCCCCTTCATGGCGGCCCCTTGGTTCCGTCTGGCCACCCCGTCCACCCCTGACAGAGCGTCCCACTCCAGGTGGCTCTTGGCATGATGCCCTGTGGCACTTGGGACTGGGGCAGACCCTCGTACACACACAGACACACACACAATCACACACACTCACACACAACACACTCACACTCATACACACACATGCATGCATGCACACATACATACATACACACATGCACACACATACGCACACACACGCACATATGCACACACATACGAATGCACACACACACGGGCTCACACACAACGCACTCATGCACACACACGCACGCACACACATATACACACATACACACATACATACACGCACGCAGACACACATGCACACATGCACACACGCACTCACACACATATATGCACGCATACACACACATGCACACACATATACATGCACACTTACACACCTGCAGTCATGCATGCACACACGAGGGCACGCACACACATGTACACACACGCACACACATATACACATACATGTACACATACACACGCGCATGCATACATACATACATGTATGCATGCACGCACACACATGCACGCACACACATGCACACATGCACACACACATGCATGAGCACACACATATATACACACATACATGCACGCATACACATGCACACGCATGCATACACACATGCATGCACACACACATGCACACACATATACATGCACACCTGCAGTCATGCGTGCACACACGAGGGCACGCACACACATGTGAACACACACGCATGCACACATATACACACATACATGCACACATACACACGCGCATGCATGCGTACATACACGTATGCATGCACACACATGCACGCACACACATGCACAGCACACACATATACACATGCAAACACACATGCATGTGCACACACACACATGCAAACACACATGCATGTGCACACACACATGCACAAGCATGCACAGACATATACATGCACACATGCAGTCATGCAGTCATGCACGCACACACGAGGACATGCACACACACATATACACACATAGTGGTACACATACACACACATGCATGTGTACATACATGTATGCATGCACACACATGCACACATGCGCGCACACATGCACGAGCACACACACATATACACACATACATGCACGCATACACACGCACACGCATGCATACACACACGCATGCATGCGCGCACACATGCACGCACACGCACGCACATGCACACACATATACATGCACACATACACACAGGCAGGCATGCACACACGCATGAAGGCACACGTACACATGCGCATGCATGCATACACACACGTATGCATGCACACACACATGCACACACATATGCACACACATGCACACATGCACATGCACGCGAAGGCACGTACACACATGCATACACGCACACATGCACACACGCGAGGGCACACACACATGCACACATGTGTGCACACACGCACGCACATACATATGTACACACATGCACATGCGCTCATATACACACGCATGCGTGCGTACACACACGCGCACGCACACACACGCACACGCACGCACGCGCACGCCTCTTTGCCTTCCAGACTGGCTGCTGCTGCAGACCCCCGCGCGGGAGTTCCGGGAGGGGGACCCCATCGTGCTGCGGTGCCACAGCTGGAGGAACAAGCCGCTGACCAAGATCACCTTCTACCAGGACGGGGTGTCCAAGCACTTCTCCTTCGGGAACCAGAACTTCTCCATCCCGCAGGCCAACGCCAGCCACAGCGGCGAGTACCACTGCCGCGGCCTCATCGGGAAGGTGGCCCACTCCTCGGCGCCCGTGGCCATCTCCGTCCGAGGTGGGCGCCGGTGAGACGCGGGGGGCATGAGTGGACGGCGGCAAGGGCCAGTGGAGATGGAGGAGACCGAGGCGGGAAGAAGTGGGGTGCAGAGCAGAGGGCGGGGCGCTGCTCCGTTTTCAACTTTGAACTTGGGTTTGGGGGGCCGGAGCGACAGCACAGCGGGGAGGGCGTGGGCCTGGCACGCGGCAAACCCGGGTCCGATTCCCAGCATCCCACAGGGTCCCCCGAGCACTGCCAGGAGGGATTCCTGAGTGCAGAGCGAAGAGGAACCCCTGTGCATCGCCGGGTGGGACCCAAAAAAGAAAATAAAACTAATAAAATTGGTTTTGGGTTTGTGGGCTGAGCCTAGCGGCGCTCAGGGCTGACTCTCAACTCTGTGCTCAGGGCTCACTCCCTGTTCAGTGCTCAGGGTTCACTCCCAGCTCAGTGCTCAGGGTTCACTCCCAGCTCAGTGCTCAGGGATGACTCCCAGCTCTGTGATCAGTCTCACTCCTGGCTCTTTGCTCAGGGCTGACTCTCGGCTCTGAGCTCGGGGCTGACTCCCGGCTCTGTGCTCAGGGCTGACTCCTGGCTCTGTGCTCAGGGATGACTCCCAGCTCTGTGCTCAGGGCTCACTCCTGGCTCTGTGCTTGGGGCTCACTCCTGGTGGGGCTCAGGAGACCAGTTGGGGTGCCGGGGGTTCAGCTCTGGGAAGGCAAGTGCCCTCCCCACTGTGCTATCGCTCCTGCCCCCAGGAGTCTTTATTTATGATGGACCCGGACTGAGCACTAGTGGCTAGAGCACCCCCCTCCTGCCACAGGGGAGCCCAGGGGCCGGGGCTCACCCCTCACAGCTCCTACCATGGCTGTTCCTCCTGGATTGGTTTTGGGTTTGTGGGCTGAGCCTAGCGGCGCTCAGGGCTGACTGTCATCTCTGTGCTCAGGGCTCACTCCTGTGATCACCCCGTTAGTCTGGGGGCCAATGAGGGGCCACACCCGGGGACCCTATGAAACGCCAGGGAATCGAACCCGGGTCGGCCGGGTGCAAGGCAAGAGCCCTCTGTGCTGTGCCCTGGCTCTGGACCCCAACCTTGGGCCCTTTCCTGGGTGTGGGGGTTGCCAGGGGGTCCGGCAGGACAGGTGGGGGGGGGGAGGGGGTCGTCCTAGAACAGGTGTAGGGGGAGGCGGGGGGGTCGTAGGTCGTCATGCTGGACTCTCCTCCCTAGAAATCCCCTCCAGCCAGAGTTCACCTGCAGTGACCATAGTGGCCGTGCTGGTCGCCCTGATCGCGCTGGCCATGGCCGTGGGCGTGGCCGCCTGGTGGCACCGTCGCCGGAAGCTGACCTCAGGTGGGTGATTCCCGGCCAGAGGCGCCCCCACACTCGAACCCTCATCCCATCCCGTGCTGTCCTCCACGCCTCCGGCCTTCCCCCGCTCCCTTTTGTCCAGGGGCTCAGAGAGGCGCTGGACACACTGGGCATGAGGCGGGGTCGGGGAGGGGCCGAGGGGGACACAGCTCAGGGTGAGAGGGGACGGTCAGCATGAGGGGGGATGATGAGCAAGTCCGGCTGTGGACCGAGGCTCCCGGCACGCACCAGCCCCGGAGAAGGGACAGGCTGGACCTGGGGGGGGCGTGAGGACGGGTCAGGGGACAGCGGGGCTGAGGGGGGCCGCTTCCCCGTGGGTCCCGGCTCTCGAGGGTCCCAGCTCCCAGGGCCGGGTGGAAACTGCCCGGCCCTCCTCCCCAAAGTCTCCTGCTCCCCACCCCGACCCACCCCGAGGAAACTCAGTGCTCCCGAGGACGGGACCCCCGGGAGGGTGCACCCCCCTCTGCCAACCTCCAGCCCGGGGGTCCCTCTTAGTCCCTGTTACCACCCCCAGATGCAGGACCTGCTGCCGAGGGGGCGCCCAGGAAGGAGGTGAGTCCGTGGACGCCCTGCCCCCCAGCCCGCCGACCCCCCGGCCCCCCTTCCCGCGCCCCCCCTGACGCCCCCCTCTCCCCCAGTCCGAGAACACGATCTCCTACTCGCTGCTCTCGCACCCGGAGGAGAACTACCAGAACAGCATCTAGGACCCCCGGCTGTCCCTGGGGGTCGCCGCGAGCCGGGACCGGGGTCTCCGGGGAGCAGCAGGGGTCACGGCGACACAGACGCCCCCCATGGACCAGCGCAGCCCAGCTCCGCCCGTGCCCCTGCGTGGACGCGCCTGAAGCTCCGTCCCCTTCCCCCCGTGCCCGGTGCGGGCCGCAGGTGGACACACGCTGACATACGTGACCTCGGACTCTGCCGACCCGCGCCCACGTGCCACGCGGGCTCAGCGCCGCGCGGGCACACGTGGGCGATGTCACGCCTCCCCGTCCCCTCTCCGGCCACAGGACTTTCGTAATAAAAGGCTCTGAGGTTCTGCCCTTCTCTGTCCGGCCGTGAGGGGGGCTTGGCTGCTGCTGGGAGCCGAGGGGTCCCGGCGGGGGTGGGGGGCGCCGTGCGTGGGGGGCTTCCCACAGCGAGCCCCAAGTCTCAGAAGTCTGTCCCGGCACCCTACTGCCCAGTTGATCGGGTATGACTGCCCTATTGATCTGGTATGGTCTCAGTCTGGTTTCTGGGATACCCTATTGATCTGATATGATTGCCCTATTGATCTGCTATGATTTCGATCTGGTCTGATTGAATGCCCTATTGATCTGGTATAATTGCCCTATTGATCCGGTATGATCTCAGTCTGGTATCTGGGATACCCTATTGATCTGATATGGTTTTCCTATTGATCCAATTTGATTGCCCTATTTATCTGCTATAATTTCGATCTGGTCTGAATGCCCTATTGATCTGGTATGATCTCAATCTGGTATCTGGAGGATACCCTATTGGTCTGATCTGATTTTCCTCTGGATCCAGTATGATTGCCCTATTGATCTGTTATGATTTCAATCTGGTCTGAATGCCCCATTGATCTGATGTGATCTTCCTCTGGATCCAGTATGATTGCCCTATTGATCCAGTTTGGCTGAACTATTGATCTGGTATGATTACCCTATTGATCTGTTATGATATCTGTCTGGCATGATTGCCCTATTGATCTGGTATGGTTGCCTTATTGATCTATTATATTTCAATCTGGTCTGAATGCCTTATTGATCTGGTACAATTTTTCAATTGATCCAGTATGAATGCAGTATTGATCTGGTCTGAAAGCCCTCTTGTTGTGATATGATTGCCTTATTGATCCAGTCTGACTGACCTATTGATCCAGTATGATTACTCTAGTGATCTGTTATGATCTCAATCTGGTATGATTGCCCTATTGATTTGGTATGATTTCGATCTGGTATGATTGCCCTATTGATCGATTATCACTGCCCTATTGATCTGGTATGATCCCCCCTCATCTTGTTCTTTTTTTCTCTTTGTCTTCTCTTTTTGGCCCACATCCAACAGTGCTCAGGGGTTACTCCTAGCTCGGTGCTCAGGGATCACTCCTGGCGGTGCTCAGGGGACCATGAGGGATGCTGGGAACTGAGTCCAGATGGATGCGTGCGGGGCCAGCGTCCTCAACTGCCCCTCCAGCCCTTCCTGATGAGCCCTCTCTGCCGTCCTATCTCTCCCGCCCCTCCCATTTTCTGGACGAGCAGTTCTGTGTGGATGCGTCTCCAAGACCCGGTCACCCTGTCACCCCTGGTTTTGGGGCATTCTTGTATTTCTAGGTTGACCTCGGCCAGAGGTTACAGGAAATGATCCCAACTGCAATCGCCTTCCGCAGAGAGGAAATGTTTTCTCTCTCGCATCAGAGATGCCGATTCGGGCTGGCCCAGGAGGTCAGACTCTGTATTTTACTTTTTTTTTCTTCTTTTTATTTTGGGTCATACCCGGAGATGCACTGGGGTTATTCCTGGCTCTGCACTCAGGAATTCCTCCTGGCCGTGCTCAGGGGACCCTACGGGATGCCGGGGATCGAACCTGGGTCGTCCGCGTGCCAGGCAAACGCCCTCCCCACTGTGCTATCGCTCCAGCCCCTGTATTTTATTTTTTTAAATTTGGGGCCACGCCTAGAGATGCTTGGGGATCGCTCCTGGAGGGGCGCCAGGGACCCTGTGGGGTGCTGGGGGTCGAACCCGGGTCTGCCTTGTGCCAGGTGAGTGTCCTCCCCGCGGTGCTATCTCTCTGACCCCCAGGGGGCGCACTTTTCTGCCCTTCACTTTTGTGCTCTGTTTGCTGCTGGCTTTGGGTATCAGCCTTGAACCCAGGGCCAGAGAAAGATGAGAACGTGCCTTCCAGGTCATCTTCCTTCATCGCCCACCGCCCAATTCCGGTGGCAGGAAGGAACTTTCTGGACCCTCTCTGGTGACTGATGGGGCACTCACGGCCCCCCGGGGGGGGCAGGGAAGCTGCGTCCAGCCCTGGGTTCACGGGGTTGGGGTCTTGCACTGATGCAAGACAGAAGAGACATATTTGCTTCTTGTTGACCGATGGGGGCCAGCCTGTCTTCAGCGCACCGCCTGTAAAGGACAATCTGGATGTCCAAAGGGTGATGGGCTGAGCAAAGGTCCTGTGGTCGGCTGTATTTGTTGATACTGGGTTTCTCTTTCTAGACATATCTTTGCCCTCCCACTACCTCTGTTTTCAGTAACTTTAGTTGCACTTGCTGGATTTTTTTTTTTTTTGGTGGTGTGGGTGGGAAAGCTGGGGCCACTCACAGCAGTGCTCAGGGCTTACTCCTGGCTCTGTGCTCAGGCATCCCTGCTGGTGGGCTTGGGGGACCCTTCAGGGTGCTGGGGATTGACTCAGTGGCTGCAAGCAAGGCCAGCCCCCTGCCGCCCCCCGCACTCTCGCTCCATCCATGTTTATTCTGAGGCTGGAGACGGGGCCTTATGCAGGGGGCGGTGTCTCTGAGCCTTTTCCTGACTGTTTGGCTGTGAACTTAAATAGCGAAAGTTTATCTTAGGACCGGAGTGATAGGACAGTGGGGGAGGGCGTTTGCCTGGCACGCGGCCGGCCCGGGTTCGATCCCCAGCATCCCAGAGGGTCCCCCGAGCACTGCCAGGAGTGATTCCTGAGTGCAGAGCCAGGAGTCAGCCCTGAGCATCGCCGAGTAGGACCCAAAAAAGAAAAAAAGAAAGTCCATCTTGGGGCTGGAGCAATAGCACAGTGGGGAGGAGGGCGTTTGCCTTGCACGCGGCCAACCCGGGTTCGATTCCCAGCATCCCAGAGGGTCCCCTGAGCACCGCCAGGGGTGATTCCTGAGCGCAGAGTCAGGAGAAACCCCTGAGCATCGCCGGGTGTGACCCAAAAAGCAAGAAAAAAAAAGTCCATTTTAGGGCCCGGAGAAAGCACGCAGGGGTCACGCGTGACCTGCACGGCGGGGCCCAGGGTTCCAGCCCACAAACTGGGTGTGGCTGCACCCCCGAGCACTGAAGCGTCAGCCCAGAACAACGGAGGCTGGGCTGGGAATTGCAGCGAAGGCTCGCAGGCCCCCTGGGGCTCCCCGGCACCCGGGTGTGGTCTGCAAGGCGAGCCCCGGTCTCCAGCTGCGGGTAACGTGCAGGGGTGCTGGGGGGGGGGGGGGACGGCGGCTTCCGAGGCGGCAGCGCTGAGTGTCCCCATCTCTGACACTTTCACTTCTCCCCACACGATCCGCGCGCCCCGGGTCCCTGGAGCCACCTGGCCCCGGTGGAAAATGTGACTGGGGGCATATTTTGGGCTGAGGACCACCCCCTCCGGGCCCGCGGCGGCTGCAGGGCTGAGGGGTGAGGGGCGGGCGGCTTCTCCTTCCACCCCACCCAGGCGCTCGGGAGGGAGGCGGTGGGCGGGAGGGGAGCCTGGAGCGGGCTGAGCGCCCCCCGGGAAGCAGGGCAGGGGCAGCCGGCCCTGCCCCTTCCCCATCCTCTGCTCCTGCCTGGAGTCGCCCCAGCACCTGGGATGCGCCGCCCCAGCGGGGGCTGATGGTCCAGCCCCGTCCGTGGCCTGCGGGCTCCTCTCCTCCTCCTCCTCCTCCTCTTCCTCCTCTTCCTCCTCCGCCTCCTCTCCCATCCCTTCTTCCTCCTCCCCCTTCCTCCTCCTCCTCTTCCTCCTCTTCCTCCTCCTCCTCCTCCTCTCCCATCTCTTCCTCCTCCTCCTCTTCCTCCTCTTCCTCTTCCTCCTCTTCCTCCTCCTCCTCTTCCTCCTCTTCCTCCTCCTCCTCCTCTCCCATCTCTTCCTCCTCCTCCTCTTCCTCCTCTTCCTCCTCCTCCTCTTCCTCCTCCTCCTCTTCCTCCTCCTCCTCCTCTCCCATCTCTTCTTCTTCCTCCTCCTCTTCCTCCTCCTCCTCCTCTCCCATCTCTTCTTCCTTCTCCTCCTCCTCCTCTTCCTCCTCCTCCACCTCTTCCTCCTCCTCCCCTTCCTCCTCCTCCTCCTCTTCTTCCCCTTCCTCCTCCTCCTCCTCCCCTTCCTCCTCCTCTTCTTCCTCCTCTTCCTCCTCCTCCTCCCCTTCCTCCTCCTCTTCTTCCTCCTCCTCCTATTCCTCTTCTTCCTCCTCCTCCTTTTTCTCTTCCTCCTCCTCCTCCTCCTCTTCTTCCTCCTCTTCCTCCTCCTCCTCCTCTTCCTCCTCCTCCCCTTCCTCCTCCTCCTCTTCTTCCCCTTCCTCCTCCTCTTCCTCCTCCTCCTCTTTCTCTTCCTCCTCCTCCTCCTCCTCTTCTTCCTCCTCTTCCTCTTCCACCTCCTCTTCCTCCTCCTCCACCTCTTCCTCCTCCTCCCCTTCCTCCTCCTCTTCCTCCTCCTCCTCATCTTTCCTCCTCCTCCTCTTCCTCCTCGTCCTCCTCCTGATCGTCCTTCTCCTGCTCCTCTTCCTCCTCCTCCTCCTCTTCCTCCTTCTCCTCCTCTTCCTCCTCTTCCTCTTCCACCTCCTCTTCCTCCTCCTCCACCTCTTCCTCCTCCTCCCCTTCCTCCTCCTCCTCTTCTTCCCCTTCCTCCTCCTCTTCCTCCTCCTCCTCATCTTTCCTCCTCCTCCTCCTCGTCCTCCTCCTGATCGTCCTTCTCCTGCTCCTCTTCCTCCTCCTCTTCCTCCTCCTCCTCCTCCTCCCCAACTAAGACCACAGAAATGAGCTAAGAGCATGGAAACGTTTGAGCCCCCCTCCGAGGGGACTCTTCCCCTGGCCCCGCTGCCCCCACTGTGTGTCTGTGGAGCCTTGGCACACATCAGGCCAGACCCTGACCCCTCCCCACGGCTCCCCCGGATTCCTGCGCCTTCCAGTCCTTTCTGGCACCTTCCAGCCTCCACTCTCCACTGGGAGGTAATGTGGGGGCCCGAGCTGGGGCGGGGGTGTTCCTGGGTGGTGCCTGGGGGTGCAGAGAGCCGGGGCCGGGCGTCCAGGTGCAGAGCAGGTGCGGGCAGAGAACCAATCAGGCCGGCGGTTGGACTCACTTCCCCTTCTGCCTCCCCGGGGTGGCCTGTCTGCGGCTGGGGACCCCAGCACAGCCACCATGAGGCCCTTGGGCATCACCCGTGCCCTGCTCTGGGCCGCGCGCTTGCTGCTGGGTGAGTGGGCGTCAGGGTCAGGGCGGGCACTCGCCGGACGCAGGAAGGTGGACGGCCTCTGGCGGGCGGCGGGGGGTCGGGGTGGGGGGCTGCCCTTTGAGGGGAGACTCGTGGCTGTTGGCAGCGGCGAGAGCCCCCCCGCCCGCCTCAGCCTGGTCGGCTTCTCTGGGACCCTCCGCCCCTGCAGCCACCGGCCTGGACATGCTGTCGTGTGACGGGCCCCCCGGGAACGAGGACTGCGTCCCCCCGGCCCCCAGCGACACCCCAGTGCGCGGCTACACCTTCAGCCAGCCCTTCCACCTGGTGGTCGCCTACGGTGAGTCCTGGCCACTCGGCCCTGCTCCCCGCTGGGACCCCAGAAAGCACAGGGGTCCCTGGGGTGACCCCAGCTCTCGCCCCCGACAGACTGGCTGGCCCTGCAGGGCCCGGTCGGGCCCGTGTTTGAGGGGGACACACTGGTGCTGCGCTGTCAGGCCTGGCAGGACTGGCCACTGGCCCACGTAACCTTCTACCGCGACGGCGCTGCCCTGGGCCCGCCCGACTCCGCCCGGGAGCTGACCATCCCCACTGCACAGCTGGGCGACAGTGGACGCTACCACTGCAGCGGCGTCTTCCAGAGCCCCGGCCGGCCTGGGACCCCCGAAACGGCCTCGGCTGTGGCCATCGTCGTCCGAGGTGAGGTGGACGGGGACAGCTGCCCCTGGGACCCTGGGGCTGCCGGAGGGACGCCAGGCAGTGTCCTGCTACCCTCCAATCACCTCTCAGCAGTCACCAATGGGCATCGGGACTGTGATCGGTGTCCCTCAATTTTGGGTCTTTCTAGACCTTTCTGCCTACAGAGAGAGAGAGAGAGAGAGAGAGAGAGAGAGAGAGAGAGAGATTCTGGCGGGCGGAGTCAGGGCTGGTGGCCGTTTCCTCGCGCCTCTGGGGTGGACGGAGGTGCCGAGGGTCCCACCCTGTGCTTCTCCCCAGAGCTGTTCCCAGAACCCACCCTCAGGGCCACCCCCCCTGAGCCCGCGGAGGGCGACTCCGTGACCCTGAGCTGCCAAACGACGCTGTCCCCGCTGAAGTCCGCCCGGCACCTGCTTTTCTCCTTCTACGGGCCCGGCGGGGCCGAGCGGGGTCCCGGGAACTCCCCGGAATTCCACGTCCCCCAGGCGCGCGCGGGCACCTACTGGTGTGAGGCGGCCACGGAGGACGGGCACGTGAGGAAGCGGAGCGCCAGGCTGGGGCTCCGGGTGCGAGGTGAGTGCGGGAGCTGCAGGGGTCAGAGGGGCGTGGGTGGGTGAGGCCCCAGGACAGGGTCACAGCTGGATCGGGGGTGCGGTCAGTGTGGACAGTCCAAGTCCCCAAGGTACCCCCGAGGGAGGCTGCCCGTGCCCCGAGTTGCAGAGAGGAGCAGCTTAAAGCTTCAAGTCTGGGGCTGGAGCGATAGCACAGCCGGGAGGGTGTTTGCCGACCCGGGTTCGACTCCCAGCATCCCATGGGGTCCCCTGAGCACCGCCAGGAGTGATTCCTGAGTGCAGAGCCAGGAGGAAGCCTTGAGCATCGCTGGGTGTGACCCACTGTCGCACTGTCCACCCATTGTTCATCGATTTGCTCGAGCGGGCACCAGTCACGTCTCCATGGTGAGATTTGTTGTGACTGTGTTTGGCATCTCGAAGACGCCACGGGGAGCTTGCCAGGCTCTGCCGTGCGGGCGAGATACTCTCGGTAGCTGGCCGGGCTCTCCGAGAGGGGCCGAGGAATCGAACCCGGGTCGCCCGCGTGCAAGGCAAACGCCCCTACCCGCCAGGTGCAAAAAAAATATAAAAGCTTAAAGTCAGGTTGTGAAAGTCGGGAAGGGACGCGGGTCCCTCTTGGGGGTCCCAGACACCAAGGGTGGGGACAGGAAAATCACACCAGGTCAGGAGTGTTTCTTTTTTCTCTCATTTGTGTGTGTGAAGCCCCCAACTCCCAGGAGCCTTGATTCACCCTAGCAGTATTTTTTGGGGGGCCAGAACCCAGTCTCTGGGATCCTGTGATAGCCTAGCTCAGATTTATTTATTGCTGGTTTTGGTGCTCAGGGTCGGTTCCTGGCTCTGTGCTTAGGGCTGACTCCTGGCTCTGTGCTCAGGGATCACTCCCGGCTCTGTGCTCAGGGCTGACTCCCGGCTCTGCGCTCAGGGCTCACTCCTGGCAGTACTCAGGGGACCCTTTGGTGATGCTGGAGATCGAACCCAGGAACTTCCCAGCTGGGGGACCTGCTGGTGGGCCCGGAACCAGGCTCACCCCTCCCTCTGTCCCCTGCCCACCCCCAGGCCCAGCTAACGTGTCTGCAGCCACCGAAGCCGAGGACTTCCCAGGACCCAAGCGCTCTGGGGGCACCCCAGCCTCCAAGGACCCCAGGGCCTCCCCCCCGCGGGGCCCCGACCCCCACCTGCACCACCGTTTGGGGGTCCTCCTCCAGCAGATGGGGGACGTCAAAGCACTCCTGGGCCACCTGCTGGTGGAGCTCAGGGAGCTGTCGGCGCGGCTAGGGGAGCCCCCCGCGGCGCCCAGAACCCAGAAGCAGTGAGGCCCACCCCAGCCAGCCGCCCCGTTCTCGGCTCAGAACCGCGTTTCCTGTTCCTCTTTTCGGTTTATTTTGACGGGCCGAGGATGGAATCCAGACACGCTAGGGGCCGGCCGGGCGCCGTCCTCACATTCAGCTCGGCAGTGCAGAGCCGCGGAGGGGAGTGGGGGTACTCTGCCACCTGGCATGGGGTGGCAGCGTGGAATGGGGTCCCCTTAATAAATGGTGTGATCCACTGGACTGACACTCTTTTCGTTTTGTTTTGTTTTGGGGTCCCACCCGGCGATGCTCAGGGCTGACTCCTGGCTCTGCACTGAGGAATCACTCCTGGCGGTGCTCGGGGGACCCTATGGGATGCTGGGAATCGAACCCGGGTCGGCTGCGTGCAAGGCAAACGCCCTCCCCGCTGTGCTGCCACTCCAGCCCCAAGGGCTGATGCTCTAGACATCTCCTGGGGTCCCAGAGAGCCCCCCGATCTTTAAGACGTTGTTCCCTTGTAACTAGCATTTGAAAACTCACACAGGGGCCCCCTAATATCCCAGAGGGGAGGGCGTTGGCCTGGCACACGGCCGACCCGGGTTCGATCCCCGGCATCCCATAGAGTCCCCCAAGGACCACCAGGAGTAATTCCTGAGTGCAGAGCCAGGAGGAACCCCTGGGCATCGCCAGGTGTGACCCCAAAACAAAATAATCAATTCAAAACTTCACATGAAGGGGTCTGGGGGTTGGCTGAACACAGGGGGTGTCCTCAGCTGGACCCAGCACCACCAGGTGTGGTCTCACACACACACACACACACACACACACACACACACAACTTTTTTTGCCCTCACCACCAACAGCACCGGAAAAGTCTTTATTTATGGGCCAGCTATGAAGACCACCCCTGATTCTCAGGCTCCCGGGCTCCTGCATCTTAGCTGAAGACCCCCAAGGGCACGGCCAGCCCCACCGCGCCAGAGGCAGCCTAGATGGGGCGCCAGTGCCCTGGGGCAGGGGAAGAGCCGCCTGGGGGGTGACCATCCCCCTAAGTCCAGCTCTGCCCAGGTGCCCGGGGAGGCGGGGCCTCTGACTAGGGCCGGAGCCGAGCTCCGATGGAAAATGCATTAAGTATTAACGTGGGGTTCGGGCTCCCCGAGGCCCCGGAGCGAGCTGGCCTCCTTGCAGACACTTGGTTCCTGCCCAGGTGAGGGTTGGGGCTCCGGGGTGTCGTGTCGGGGCAGGAGGAAGGAAGGAAGGAAGGATGGGGAACCCCAGCAAGGTCGTGGGGGGACAGCGGGCTGATGGATGAGCTTGAGGGAGCTGGGCTGCCCGCAGGGACGAGGGGGAACCCCCTGCCACCCCGGCGTCCCTGAAATGGGGTCAGGGAGGAGGCAGGGAACGGCCGAGGGGGACCAGAAGGACTTGAGCTGCCTCCTCGGGCTGGGGTGGGGAGCTGGTGACGTGAGGGTCACCCCCAGCCTAGACCTGCAATCCGGTCACTGCAAGTCTGTCTCAGGACCTGGGACTCTGCAGCCCCCGTGGCCTCTCTGCAGACCACCCCGCGACCCCCAGCAGCAGCGATGTGGGTGTTGGCTGGCCTCGTGCTCCTGAGTGAGTTGGGGGCCAGGCTGGGGGTGTGCACGCCCTCCCTGGTCCCAGCAGCGCCTGATCAGTGGGGGGCGGGGGTGGGGGTGGGGGGTGTGGTCAGGACGCCCCCCACTCCCCCACCCCCAACTCAACTCGCTTCTCCCCCTTCTGCTTCCCAGCTGCAGCCGAAGGGCAAGGTGGTGAGTCCCTGCGCCCCTGTTACCCGCCAGCCCACCCTGGGGCGTCCTGTGACTCAGTTTCCCCGCAGTTGGGGGTGGGGCGGAGGCGGGCCCGGGGGTCCCTCAGCGCAGCGCTCTCTGCCCGGGTCCAGCGATTCTGGAGAAGCCGGTGCTGACCGTGCACCCGCCCTGGGCCACCATCTTCCGGGGCGAGAGCGTGACCCTGCACTGCGCCGGCCACCACGCCCTGATCCTGGAGCCGCGGCCCATCAGGACCCTCTGGTACCGCGGTCACCTGCTGCTGCCGGCGCACACGAGGACCCTCGAGGTGCAGGCCCCCGGGGTGTACCGCTGCCAGACGCGGGGCGCCCCGGTCAGCGACCCTGTCCACCTCTCGGTGTCCAACGGTGAGTGCCCCCGGCCCCCTCGCCCTCCTGCAGGGGCGAGTGGGGCAGTGGCCAGGCAGGGCGCCCGGAGGGAAAGGCGCATGGGACCCGGGCAGGGGCCCCCCGGGCTGGCTGCTGGGGGTGCCCACGCTGGCTGGTGAGCGCCAGTGGCCAGTCCCCGACTGGGTCTGGCTTGGCCCCTGTCCACTGCGGGGCTGAATCCCGCGGGGCGAGCAGCTCACGGGAACAGCCGGTGCTGACCATTGGCCCCGGGGCTGCGCTGCCCCAGAGGGGGCTGCAGACCCCCAGCGGGACGGAGTCCGGCCGGGCCACGGCACCGACCCAGCTGGCCAGTCTGTCCTCAGGGCGCAATGGCCCTGCAGGGGGTGAGACGGGCACAGCCAGGCGCGCGCGCGGGGCAGCAGGGGTGGCCGCGGCCGGCAGGTTCCGGCGGGTGCAGGGACTGACCGCGCGCGTCTGTGGTCGGTGTCCATTGACTCGGCCCTGGGGGACCCCGGCACCGGGCTGGGGGGGCGCGGAGGGGGGCTCCGTGCCTGTTGGGGCGGCGGTGAAGGTTTGGGGCCGTCCTGGGGGTGGTCCCGGGGTGGGGGCCAGCCCGGAGTGAGCGAGCCGCCCCCCCGGCCCCCCAGACTGGCTGATCCTGCAGGCGCCCCCCGCCGCGGTGTTCGAGGGGGACCCCCTGGTGCTGCGCTGCCGGGCGCGCGCCGACCGGCCGGTCCAGCGGCTCCACTTCTACCACGAGGGCCGCGCCGTGCGCTACTACCCCGCGGGCGCCAACTACACGGTGGCCCAGGCGCGCGCCGGCGACAGCGGCCACTACCAGTGCTCGGGCACCATGCGCATCCCCGCCGAGGGCGCGGCCGAGAGCGCGCCGCTCTTCTCCGCCAGGGTGGCCGTGCGCGTGCAAGGTGCGGCGCCGACCGCGGGGGCGGGGCGGGGCGGGACCCCATCCCCGGGTGCCCCTCCCCGCGCCCCTTCCCTGCGCCGCCGCCCCGCGCCCCCTCCCCACGCCCCCATCCCCGCGCACCCCTCTCCACGCCCTCCTCCCCGCGCCCCCTCCCCAAGCCCTCCTCCCCAAGCCCCCATCCCCGCGCCCCTTCCCCGCGCCGCCTCCCCGCGCCCCGCGCCCTCATCCAGGCGCCCCCTCCCCACGCCCTCCTCCCCGCATCCCTTCCCTGCGCCGCCGCCCCGCGCCCCCTCCCCACGCCCCCATCCCCGCGCACCCCTCTCCACGCCCTCCTCCCCGCGCCCCCTCCCCAAGCCCTCCTCCCCACGTCCCTTCCCTGCACCGCCTCCCCGCGCCCCCTCCCCAAGCCCTCCTCCCCAAGCCCCCATCCCCGCGCCCCTTCCCCGCGCCGCCTCCCCGCGCCCTGCGCCCTCATCCAGGCGCCCCCTCCCCAAGCCCTCTTTCCCGCGCCCCCATCCCCGCGCACCCCTCTCCACGCCCTCCTCCCCGCGCCCCCTCCCCACGCCCTCCTCCCCGCGCCCCTTCTCCGCGCCCCCTTCCACGCCCCCTCCCCGCGCCCTCCTCCCCGCGCCCCCCTCCCCGCGATCCCGCGCCCCTCCCCGCAGCGCCCCCCCCCTCGGCCCGCAGAGCTGTTCCCCGCGCCCGTGCTGCGCGCCGCCGGCCCGGGCCCCGCGGGCGGCCTGGTGCTGCGCTGCGACACGCGCCCGCACCCGCGCCGACGCGCCACGACGCTGCTCTTCGCCTTCTACCGCCGCGGCCGCGCCCTGCGCCCCTTCGGACCCGCGCCCGAGCTGACGGTCCCCGCGCGCCCCGCGCCCGACCTGGGCGCCTACTGGTGCGAGGCGGCCACGGCCTCGCGCAGCGTGCGCAAGCGCAGCCCCTGGACGCCGCCCGGCGCCGGTGAGCGCCCCCCGCCCGCCCCTGCGCCCCTGCGCCCCCTCTCTCGTAGCCCCTGCGCCTCTCTCTCCTCGCCCCTGTGCCCCCTCTCTCCTCGCCCCTGCGCCCCTCTCTCGTCGCCCCTGCGCCCCCTCCCCGCGCCCCTGCACCCCTCTCTCCCCGCCCCTGCGCCCCTCTCCCCTCGCCCCTGCGCCCCTCTCTCGTCGCCCCTGTGCCCCTCTCTCCTCGCCCCTGCGCCCCTCTCTCCTCGCCCCTGCACCCCTCTCTCGTAGCCCCTGCGCCCCTCTCCCCTCGCCCCTGCGCCCCTCTCTCCTCGCCCCTGCGCCCCCTCCCCTCGCCCCTGCGCCCCTCTCCTCACCCCTGCATCCCTCTCTCCTCGCCCCTGCGCCCCTCTCTCCCCGCCCCTGCGCCCCCTCCCCTCGCCCCTGCGCCCCTCTCTCGTCGCCCCTGCGCCCCTCTCTCCTCGCCCCTGCGCCCCCTCTCTCCCCGCCCCTGCGCCCCCTCCCCTCGCCCCTGCGCCCCTGCGCCCCTCTCTCCTCGCCCCTGCGCCCCCTCCCCTCGCCCCTGCGCCCCTCTCCTCACCCCTGCATCCCTCTCTCCTCGCCCCTGCGCCCCTCTCTCCCCGCCCCTGCGCCCCCTCCCCTCGCCCCTGCGCCCCTCTCTCGTCGCCCCTGCGCCCCTCTCTCCTCGCCCCTGCGCCCCCTCTCTCCCCGCCCCTGCGCCCCCTCCCCTCGCCCCTGCGCCCCTCTCTCGTAGCCCCTGCACCCCTCTCTCCTCGCCCCTGCGCCCCTCTCCTCGCCCCTGCGCCCCTCTCTCCTCACCCCTGCGTCCCCCTCCCCTCGCCCCTGCGCCCCTCTCTCCCCGCCCCTGCGCCCCCTGCCCTCGCCCCTGCGCCCCCTCCCCTCGCCCCTGCGCCCCCTCCCCTCGCCCCTGCGCCCCCTCCCCTCGCCCCTGCGCCCCTCTCCCCTCGCCCCTGCGCCCCTCTCTCGTAGCCCCTGCGCCCCTCTCCCCTCGCCCCTGCGCCCCCTCCCCTCGCCCCTGCGCCCCCTCTCTCCCCGCCCCTGCGCCCCTCTCCTTGCCCCTGCGCCCCCTCCCCTCGCCCCTGCACCCCTCTCTCCCCGCCCCTGCGCCCCTCTCTCCTCGCCCCTGCGCCCCCTCTCTCCCCGCCCCTGCACCCCTCTCTCGTAGCCCCTGCGCCCCTGCGCCCCCTCCCCTCGCCCCTGTGCCCCTGTCTCCCCGCCCCTGCGCCCCTCTCCCCTCGCCCCTGCGCCCTTCTCCTCGCCCCTGCGCCCCCTCTCTCCTCACCCCTGCGCCCCTCTCTCCTCGCCCCTGCGCCCCCCTCTCCTCGCCCCTGCGCCCCTCCCCTCGCCCCTGCGCCCCCTCTCTCCCCGCCCCTGCGCCCCTCTCTCCCCGCCCCTGCGCCCCTCTCTCATCGCCCCTGCGCCCCTCTCTCATCGCCCCTGTGCCCCTCTCTCGTAGCCCCTGCGCCCCCTCTCTCCCCGCCCCTGCGCCCCTCTCTCCTCGCCCCTGCGCCCCCTCTCATCGCCACTGCGCCCCTCTCTCCTCACCCCTGCATCCCTCTCTCCTCACCCCTGCGCCCCTCTCTCCTCACCCCTGCGCCCCTCTCTCCTCGCCCCTGCGCCCCTCTCTCCTCGCCCCTGCATCCCTCCCCTCACCCTGCGCCTCTCTCCCACCCCTGCACTCCTCTCTCCACACCCCTGCATCCCTCTCCCCACCCCTGCATCCCTCTATCCTCACCCCTGCACCCCTCTCCTCACCCTTGCACCTCTCTCTACACCCCTGCACCCTTCTCCACCCCTATGCCCCTTTCTCCACCCCTGCATCCCCTCACCCCAACCCTGCACACCCTTCTCCTCACCCTTGTGCCCCCTCTTTCCCCAGCCCTGCCCCTCTCTCCCCTACCCTGCATTCCTCCTTCACCCCTGCACCCTCTCTCTACCTTGTTTCTGTACCCCTTCCACCCTGCCCCTGTACCCCTGCTTCCCCTGCCCCTACCACCACCCTGTGGTTCCAGCTGGGTCCCCTCGTGTCCTTCACAGATTATCCTGGGGATGAGGCCCCCACATCTGCCCCAGCTGCGGTGCCTGGGGCCATGGAGCTGCCTACCAGAAAGCCCCCCGGGTCCCAATGGGCAGCGGTGGTCCCCTCTGTCCCCAGCGCCACGCCTGCAGCAGGCCAGGCCCCCATGGCCGGGCCCTCCACCTGTGCCCCGCAGGGACCGCCTGGGGCTCTGGGCGTGGACTCCACGCTGCTCCTGCGTGAGATGCGGGTGCTCCAGGGCCTCCTGGGGCGCGTCCTGCAGGAGCTCCAGGGCGCCGTCCCCCAGCAGCCTACAGAGGCCCCCGGGACCCCCGCGGCCTCTGCTGCTTTGGGGGGGCTGAGCCCGCTTCCTGCCTCTCCCTCCCTGGGCCCCCCAAGCCACCTCTGTGGTTCCAGCTGTGCTGTGGCTGATGCCGACGCCGAATAAAGCGGCAACGTCCTGTCCCCCAGAGTCTGCAGCTCCTCCTCCTTGATGAGGACGTGTGTGTGCGTGTGTGGTGGGGGGAGAGTCGGGTGCCGCCCCCAGGCCTCACCCCTACCCAGGGGGCTGCCGCTGTCTGTCAGCTGCCTGGGGGCTGAGTGCAGGCGCCAGTGGCGCTTGGGGCCACTAACTCATCATTCTCAACATCTGGCTCCACCTTGGGGTCAGGGGGCCCTCTCTCCTCACCCCTGCGCCCCTCTCTCCTCACCCCTGCGCCCCTCTCTCCTCACCCCTGCGCCCCTCTCTCCTCACCCCTGCGCCCCTCTCTCCTCACCCCTGCGCCCCTCTCCCCACCCCTGCACCCCTCTCTCCTCAGCCCTGTGCCCCCTCTCCTCGCCCCTGCTCCCCTCTCTCCTCAACCCTGCGCTCCTCTCCTCACCCCTGCGCCCCCTCTCCTCACCTGCGCCCCTCTCCTCACCTGCGCCCCTCTCTCCTCACCCCTGCACCCCTCTCTCCTCACCCCTGCACCCATATCCTCACTCCTGCACCTCTCTCCCACCCCTGCGCCCCTCTCTCCTCACCCCTGCGCCCCTCTCTCCTCACCCCTGCGCCCCTCTCCCCACCCCTGCACCCCTCTCTCCTCAGCCCTGTGCCCCCTCTCCTCGCCCCTGCTCCCCTCTCTCCTCAACCCTGCGCTCCTCTCCTCACCCCTGCGCCCCCTCTCCTCACCTGCGCCCCTCTCTCCTCACCCCTGCACCCCTCTCTCCTCACCCCTGCACCCATATCCTCACTCCTGCACCTCTCTCTCCCACCCCTGTGCCTCTCTCCTCACCCCTGCACCCCTCTCTCCTCACCTCTGCGCCCCTCTCTCCTCAACCCTGTGCCCCTCTCTCCTCGCCCCTGCACCCCTCTCCTCACCCTGTGCCCCTCTCTCCTCCCCCTGCGCCCCTCTCCTCCCCCCTGCGCCCCTCTCCTCCCCCTTCACCCCTCCCCTTACCCCAGCGACCTCTACCCCAGATATCCCCACCCCAGCGACCCCCACCCCAGGGACCACCACTCCAGGGAACTCCCACCTCAGTGCCCCCACCCCAGGGACCCCCACCCGAGGACCCCCCCACCCGAGGGAGCCCCAGTACTGGCCCTCCCCCCACTGTGCCTGAGCAGAGTCACCATCACGCGTTTTCCTTGTGAAATGAACTAAAGGAAGTTTTCACCCTCCCCCCCCCCCCCCCCCCGCCAACTGGGCACTCTCAGAACCCCCATCCTCTGGTCAGCCTTAGAGCTTTATGGGCACCACGTGGGTCACAGAAGGTTCTCAGCATGATACGGGCTCTGAGGCTGATTTCCAGAAAGTTCCACCCTTCCTGTGGGGCACCCCCCCACCTTTCCGGGTTCATGTCTGGCGTCTCTGCTTTGTCCATGTGGGCATGGGGGGGACTGCGGGGGCGGGGTTTAGGAGGGACACGGGCCTCCGGGGTGCAGAGGGAGCCCCAGGAAGAAGCTGCTGTTTGTAGAAGGAGCCCTTGTGACAGGAAGTGGAGGTCAGTGAGGTCAGGAGGGGAACTGTTCTGACCTTGGCTGGGGTCAGGCAGGAGATGGAGCTGTGTGGCCGCCTCCCTGGGGTGGGGGTGAGCTGGGGCCGCCTGTCTGGGCTCACACTGCCGCATGGAAGGGTCTGGAACATTCCGGCCAACCCACAATGTGCAGCTGTGGGTCCCTGTGCTTATAAGACAGGCCGTGGGCCGGGCTCTCCAGGGGACCCCTGGGGCTTACCACCAGCCAGAGGTGAATGTGGACCCCAGGAACCGAGGGGAGGGTTCACTCACTTTGGTTAGGTCAAGAGGGGGGCAGCCCCCTGGAAATCCCCCCACAGTCCACAGCCGCCATGAGAGGAGTTGGCACTGGGCCCTTGTCTGCCAGGGATGCCACAAAAGGAGACATGACTGTCCCCTCCATCACCGCCACATGTCCTACTTGCTGAGAAGTGAGAGGGGCCAGGCAGGGGAGGGGACATGAGGGGTGACCCCCACTGAGCGCCCCCCCACCCCCCAGCTCAGGGTCTGGCTCTTGAGTAAGCCTTGGCACTGGAGCTGGGAGATTCGCATCATTCCCTGGCAGGATGGGGGTGCTGTGGCCAGGCTCACCCCCGCAGAGTGGGGCAGTGGCAAAGCTCTGGGTGTCTGGACCAGCCTGGACCAACCTGGACAGCAGGGGGCTGGGGGCAGTTACCCTGTGGCATGCCCTTGAGATGGCCTTTGATCTAGTTACAGAGCCTGTGCTGGGCCCAGTGTATCGTTTTTTTTTTTTTTTTTTTTTTTTTTTGCTTTTTGGGTCACACCCGGCAATGCTCAGGGGTTCCTCCTGGCTCATACACTCAGGAATTACCTCTGGTGGTGCTTGAGGGACCCTATGGGATGCTGGGAATTGGACCTGGGTTGGCCGCGTGCAAAGCAAACGCCCTCCCCGCTGGGCTATCGCTCCAGCCCCTGGGCCTAGTGTATCTTAAAAAAAAAAAAAAATTGGGGTCAGAGCGATAAATAATAAAGAAAAAATAAAAAAAAAGAAAATAAAAATAAAGAAATCTCAGGGCTGGGAGGAAAAGAGACAGTTACTAATTCAACCATCAATGGGATGACAGTGATACAGTGATACAGTGATAGTGACACAGTGATACTTTTTTATTGAACCACTGTGAAATACATACTTCCGATGCCCAGTCAGGACTGGGTTTCAGCATCCAATGTTCCCTACAGCGCTGGGAGTGTTTATAACCCGGGCCAGGGTTACCTTCTCACTTTGGAGAACGCATTGCTGGACAGAAAACTGCCCTCACTGGCGCACGGGTCACTCTCCTGCCCAGGCCCAGAGGCCAGGCCTGTGGGGCCTTTTGCTAACTCTCTGCATGCCATGTACTCTGCATGCCAGCCAGGATCGACTGTTACTGTTTTTGGCCAGGATTCAGCGGGCTGGACCCAGAGGCAAGAACAGACTTTCTGGCTGCGAGCATCTTTGCAGACCCCCCAGGGGGGACCCCGGGCGGCGGTGTCCTGGGCCCAAGGAATCTCCTGGCCTCGGAGGGGGAGGTGGCCCTGTCCTCGGTGTGGCCCCGGGGACACGGAACGCCCGGTTTCCGTTCATCTTGTTGTTTATCAAGTGTCCCTGGAGCCAGAAAGGAACCGAGAGCTGAGCCCAGCAGCACCCTGAGTTCCTGCTGGAATCAGCTTACGGGATGGGAGGGGTTTGCCAACATGGGGTCAGCAAACGTGTTTGATTATCTCTGCCCGGCCCCCTGCCCCTGGCAAGGAAGGAGCCCCCCGTTCTGTCCGGTGGGCTTTGGTGACCTCAGGAAAGGGACACAGTGACAGAACTCCTTCATGAGGGCCCTGGGGAGGTGCGGGCGCCCGCTGCTTCCCAGAATTCTAGGTCACCCACTTCCTGGGTGCCAGTTGAGTGAGTCATCTGCCTGGTCAGCTTCCTCCCTCCTGCCAGCTGTCGCCCTTCCCCGCCTTTGTCCCCCACTCAGAACTTCTGCCTTGGGGCTCAGCGGGTGAATTCCCTGCCTCTGCCCCTGCCCCGAAGCGACTGGATTTGGAAAATGAGGCTCTGAACTTTCTAGAAGCAAGTGATCCCTTCCTGGTAAGGAGCAGGGTTTTACTGTGCATCTCCTAGACGGAGCTGGCTGCAAACTGGTCCCTCTACCCCGGAGCAGATGAGACCAGGCGATGCACTTGAATCTGAACCTCCCAATGTCCAGGCTGGGGTTCAGCAGGACACAGGCCGGCCCAGACCCAGAGAAAGGTCCAATAGCGCCTCCTGCTGGCCGAGGTGCAAATGGCAGCTGGGAAATTCACCGCTCTGACTCACCTGTCCCAGGTGTGACCGAGCCAGCCGCTGTCTGGGCGCACCCACCACACCCACAGCCCCTTCCTCATCCCCAGAGGACCTCACACACCCCTTAGGCCACCGGAGGGTGGGGTTGGGCACTGGAGCAGAAGTTTCTCATTTCCAACAGAAAACGAATAACAAAGTAGAAGTGCAGGAAATAAAGGCTCACTCTTCAACATTCCAGAGTGTCAATGTTTAACTGGTGCTGCCCCTGGGTTACATAAGAATGGTTTCAGGCTGCGTTAAAAAAAAAAAAAACGTGTACAAAGACTGGCCTATGTATCTGGGGAACATAAAGTAACAAAATAGGAGACTAACACCCAAGAATGGCCGAGATTAGTACCAGGAATTTTCCTCCATGGCTTGGAGACCAGCCACACATACTAGGGAAAAGGGAGCTCAGATAGAGAAGGGAGCACCAAATAAAGGGTGTTGGGAGGATCCTCCCAGGATGGGAGAAGCATGCTGAAAGTAGACTATAGACCGAACATGATTGCCACTCAATGCCTCGCTTGCAAACCACAGCACCCAAAAGGAGAGAGAGAACAGAAGGGAATGCCCTGCCACAGAGGCAAGGTGGCATGGGGGGATAGGGGGTGGGAGGGATGCTGGGACCCGTGGTGGTGGAAAATGGGCACTGGCGGAGGGATGGGTATTCGATCATTGTATAACTGAAACCCAAGCACAAAAATTTGTAAGTCTACAACTGTACCTCATGGTGTTTCACTAATAAAAATAAAAAAAAAAAGACTGGCTTATGTAAGGTCTCTCTCACACTGAGCTCCCAAAATAACTAAATTACATGGGACTAATGCCTTTATGCTTTGCAGAGTGATGGATAAGAAAAGGATTTATCCACCAGGAAACTGAATTAACAGGAAAATGGGAAGGACGCGGTTGAGTGGAGGGAAGGAAAAGCAAGAGAAGAAATTAAAAAAAAAATTATTAGTGAGACACCATGAGATACAGTTGTAGACTTACAAATTCTTGTGCTTGGGTTTCAGTTATACAATGATCGAGTACCCACCCCTCCACCAGTGCCCATTCTCCACCACCAATGATCCCAGCACCCCCCCCCACCCACCCAAGAGAAGAAATTTAAAGAGATTCATAAGCATTAAAACACACACACACACACACACACACACACGCACGCACACACATGCACACAGAGAGGACAGAGGTTAAGGTATTTGCTTTGCACACGATCGATCTGGGTTCATCCCCAGCCCTACTTAGGGTCCCTCTGAGCCCTGCCAGGAAGGACTTAAGCCCTAAGTACCGCTGGCTGTGGCACTGGAAAAAAAAAATCTTAAAAAAATGAAGTTTGGGGCTGGAGCAATAGCACAGCTTGCACGCGGCCAACCCGGGTTCGATTCCCAGCATCCCATAGGGTCCCCCGAGCACCGCCAGGAGTGATTCCTGAGTGCAGAGCCAGGAGCAACCCCTGTGCATTGCCGGGTGTGACCCAAAAAAGCAAAAAAAAAAAAAAAAAAAATTTGCTTAAAAGGCATAAAAGGATGGCATGCATCCAGTGATTTAAGTTTGTCTTCATATAAAGCTCATCAGAGGTCTCAGTGATCTGGACCCTCCTTACTTCTTTGCAACAGATGCAAGTTGCCTTTGTGAGTGAAGATGTTTTCCCACTGAGTGGGGGGGGGGGGGGGTGCGCACCTCTGCGGTCCTCCGAGCCTGCAGTGGCGCGCGCGGGCCGCCAGAGAAGGGCCGCTCTAGCCCGCGCCGCTCGGTGGTGCCCAGGCTGCAGGCGGCGCGGGGGAGGCCGCTCTAGCCCGCCCGCTCGGTGGTGCCCGGGCTGCAGGCGGCGCGGGGGAGGCCGCTCTAGCCCGCCCGCTCGGTGGTGGCCATGCTGCAGGCGGCGCGGGGTGGTAGAGGGAGGCCGCTCTAGCCCGCCCGCTCGGTGGTGCCCAGGCTGCAGGCGGCGCGGGGGAGGCCGCTCTAGCTCGCCCGCTCGGTGGTGCCCGGGCTGCAGGCGGCGCGGGGGAGGCCGCTCTAGCCCGCCCGCTCGGTGGTGCCCGGGCTGCAGGCGGCGCGGGGGAGGCCGCTCTAGCCCTCCCGCTCGGTGGTGCCCAGGCTGCAGGCGGCGCGGGGGAGGCCGCTCTAGCCCTCCCGCTCGGTGGTGCCCGGGCTGCAGGCGGCGCGGGGGAGGCCGCTCTAGCCCGCCCGCTCGGTGGTGCCCGGGCTGCGGGCGGCGCGGGGGAGGCCGCTCTAGCCCGCCCGCTCGGTGGTGCCCATGCTGCAGGCGGGCTCGGGGGGCGCGGGGCGCGGGGCGCGGGGGTCGCAGGGGCCGCAGGGGCTGCAGGTGCGGCCCGGGCTGTTCCTGGGCGCGGCCGTGGCGGAGCCGGGCGGCCTGCAAGAGGCGGGCATCGCGGCCGTGCTGTCGGTGGACGCGCAGCCGCCGGCCTGGACCCCCGGCGCCGCGGGCCTGGGGCTGCGGACACTGTTCGTGGCGGCGCTGGACAGCCCCGAGGCCGACCTGCTCAGCCAGCTGGACCGCTGCGTGGCCTTCCTGCTCGGGGCCCGCGCCGACGGCCGCGCCGCGCTGGTGCACTGGTCAGCGGCGTCGGGGGGACCCGGGGGGTGGGCAGCGGGGACGGGGTGGACTCCCGGGGACGAGGGTCTCAGCATCCCAGGGATGGGGTGGGCACCCGGGAACGGGGGTCTCAGTATCCCAGGGACAGCCTGGGCATCTGGGAACGGGCTGGACACCCGGAGATGAGCACCCCAGGGACAGGGTGGGCACCCGGGGACTGGGGTCTTAGCATCCCAGGGAGGGGCTGGGCACCCAGAGACGAGGGTCTCAGCATCCCAGGGATGGGGTGGGCACCCGGGGACTGGGGGTCTCAGCATCCCAGGGACAGGCTGGGCATTTGGGAACGGGCTGGACTCCCGGGGACGGGGGGTCTCAGTATCCCAGGGACAGCCTGGGCGTCTGGGGACGGGGCTCTCAGCATCCTAGGGAGGGGCGGGGCACTTGGAGACAAGGGTCTCAGCATCCCAGGGATGGGGTGGGCACCTGATGATGGGGGTCTCAGTATCCCAAGGACAGGTTGGATACCCGGGCACGAGGGTCTCAGCATCCCAGGGATGGGCTGGGCAGATGGGGGCCGGGGTGGGCATCTGGGGACGGGGGTCTTAGCATCCCAGGGACAGCCTGGGCATCTGAGAACGGGCTGGACACCCGGAGATGAGCACCCCAGGGATGGTGTGGGCACCCGGGGACTGGGGGTCTCAGCATCCCAGGGACAGGCTGGGCATCTGGGAGCAGGGGTCTCAGCATCTCAGGGATGGGGTGGGCACCCGGAGACGAGGGTCTCAGCATCCCAGGGACAGGCAGGGCATCTGGGGACGAAGGTCTCAGCATCCAGGGACAGGGTCCTTGGCATCCCAGGGGGACTAGGGTCTTGGCATCCCCGGAGAACCGGGGTCTCGGCCATCAGGATTTTGTTTTTTGGGGAGCAGCATCTCAGCATTGGGGACTGTGGTCTCAGCCGTCCGGGGACCCCTCAGCATCTGGGGACCAGGATCTGGCATCCTGGGGACGAGCCGGGCATCCTGGCTCTGTGTCAGGGACCCTCTGGGGTGCTGCGGGTGGAACCCGGCTGGGCACATGCAGGGTCAGCACCGCTCCCATCTGCCCTCTGGGTTTCGGGCTCCCTGATGGGCCGCGGGGTGGGGGTGGGGGGTGCATGGTGGTGTCTGGGGCAGGGTCCGATCGTTCCTGTGGGTCTCATCTTCTCGGTCTCCTCCAGCCACGCGGGGGTCAGTCGGAGTGTGGCCGTCGTGACCGCGTTTCTCATGAAGACCGAGAAGCTGCCCTTTGAGGTGGCCTACGCTGAACTCCAGGCTCTGAAACCAGAGGCCAAGTGAGTGCCTGGGTGATGCTGTCAGGGAGGAAGGGAGGAGGGGGGGAGAGAGAGGGAGAGAGAGAGGGAGATGGAGGGAGAGTTTCTGCGCAGGATGAACGAGGGCTTCGAGGCGCAGCTGAAGCTGTACCAGGCCATGGGCTGTGAGGTGGACACGGCCAGCATCCTTTACAAGCAGTACCGCCTGCAGAAACTGACCGAGAAGTACCCAGGTAGGCGGCTATGGCAGCTGTGGGGGGCATTTTTCCTGCCCAGGGCCCGATGTGGGGGGTGGGGGGGCGGCAGGAAGTGGCTGCGTCCAGTGGACAGGGGTCCGTCCCCGTGGGCTGGGGTCCATCTTGTGGGCTGGGGTCCATCTCTGTGGGCTGGGGTCTGTCCCTGTGGGCTGGGGTCCGTCCCTTTGGCCTAGGATCTGTTTCTGTGGGCTGGGGTCCATCCCCGTTGGCTGGGGTCTGTCTCATGGGCTTGGATCCGTCTCCATGGGTTGGGGTCCATCCCCGTGGGCTGGGGTCCATCTTGTGGGCTGGGGTCCATCTCGTTGGCTGGGGTTCGTCCCCGTTGGCTGGGGTCTGTCTCATGGGCTTGGATGCATCTCCATGGGTTGGGGTCCGTCCCCGTGGGCTGGGGTCCATCTTGTGGGCTGGGGTCCATCTCCGTGGACTGGGGTCTGCCCCTGTGGGCTGGGGTCCGTCCCTTTGGCCTAGGATCTGTTTCTGTGGGCTGGGGTCCATCCCCGTTGGGTGGGGTCTGTCTCATGGGCTTGGATGCGTCTCCATGGGTTGGGGTCCGTCCCCGTGGGCTGGGGTCCATCTTGTGGGCTGGGGTCCATCTCCGTGGGCTGGGGTCTGCCCCTGTGGGCTGGGGTCCATCCCTTTGGCCTAGGATCTGTCTCTGTGGGCTGGGGTCCGTCCCCGTGGGGTCTGTCTCCGTGGACTGGCCGCAGTGTCCGACTTCCTCTCCCGGGCTGTGGAATTCCGGGCCCCTGCCCTGGCGGGGGGCTTCGCGGCCTGATCCCACCGTGCCCCCCAGAGCTGCGGCACCTGCCCCCAGAGCTCTTTGCCGCTGACCCCAGTGCTTCACGTCAGGACCGGCCGGACCAGGCGCTCTACAGGTGCCGGAAATGCAGGTGAGTTCTGGCAGCCTCTGGAACGTTCTGGCAGCCTCTGGAATGTTCTTGCATCCTGCCCGGTGACCGTGGGCTGCGGGGAGCAGTGGGGAGCGACAGTGTCCGAGCTGGGGGTGGCAGCCATGGGTGGGGGCACTCAGCCCAGCGTCCCTCTCACCCCTGCAGGCGCGCGCTGTTCCAGAGGTCCAGCGTCCTGGGCCACAGTGAGGGCAGCGGTGCCCTGGCCTTCGCCCACAAGAGGGGGGCCGTGCTTGGCGCGCTGACCCCCGGGGGTCCCGCCCAGTGCACTTCCCATTTCATCGAACCTGTGCAGTGGATGCAGCCGGCCCTCCTGGGGGTGCTGGACGGCCAGGTGAGCCCCCCGGTCCCGGCACCCCGCGTCTGTCCCTCTGTGGTTTTCCTGCCTGACCCTGACCCGTCTCTGGGCCCCCTGCACCACGCCACCTGTCAGTATGCGGGTGTAGACGGGGATCCGGCCAAAACAGACCATTCCCGTAGAGCCTGCTGGGAGAAACAGCAAGTCACTCTGCAAGTCGGATGCCCAGGACGCAGTCTGGCACCCCGGAAATATTATTTAAAACACTTGGGGGCCAGAGCGATAGCACAGAGGGCGCGGCCGACCTGGGTTCGATTCCCGGCATCCCATAGGGTCCCCTGAGCACCGCCAGGAGTGATTCCTGAGTGCAGAGCCGGGAGTCAGCCCTGAGCGTCGCCGGGTGTGACCCAAAACAAAAACTAAAACCCAAAACAACCCATGAGAGAATTATTAACCTAAATGAATTGGTATAGATTTATTGAAAACTTCCTCCCTCCCTCCCTTCCTCCCTCCCTCCCTCCCTCCCTCCCTTCCTTCCTGTTTTTGGGTCCCACCCGGCAATGCTCAGAGCTGACTCCTGGCTCTGCACTCAGGAATCACTCCTTACGGTGCTCGGGGGACCCTATGGGATGCCGGGAATCGAACCCGGGTCGACTGCGTGCAAGGCAAACGCCCTCCCTGCTGGATAGATAGCCTGTCCAGTCCCATGACTCTTCTCCTCCTCCTCCTCCTCCTCCTCCTCCCTTTTGGGTCCCACCCTGCGATGCTCAGGGCTGACTCCTGGCTCTGCACTCAGGAATCACTCCTGGCGGTGCTCAGGGGGACCCAGTAAGATGCCGGGGATCGAACCCGGGTCGGCCGCGTGCAAGGCCAACGCCCTCCCACTGTGCTGTCTCTCCGGCCCCACAAAAGCGTAGACCCCCCCCCACCCACACACACACACGCACACACACACACCCCACTCCCCGGGTAACGTGGGCGTCCTGTCCCATCCCAGCCACCCCTTCCTGCACGTCACGCTCGCTCTGGGGGCTGCCACTGCATCTCGGGACGTGGGTGAGGCTGACTCTCCCCCCCGCCCCCCTCTTGCAGCTGCTTTGTCCCAAGTGCAAGGCCAAGTTGGGCTCCTTCAACTGGTGCGGGGAACAGTGCTCCTGCGGCCGCTGGGTCACGCCCGCCTTCCAGATCCACAAGAACCGAGTGGATGAGATGAGACAGCTGCCGGCCCCGGGGCCGCCGACGGGGGAGCCCAGCTAGTGACGGGCGCCGGGCTGCGGGGAAGGAAGGACTCTGGGGATCCCGGCTCCCCCACCACCCGTGGCCCGGCCTGGGAGCTGGACTTGGAACTGCTGCCACGCGGGCAGGCGCTTTTCGTGGACACCAAATCCGTGGCCACATGGACGGGGCGACTGGATGGTGAAAGCCCGTCTCTCTTGTTTCTGATTTTAAACTGAGTCGGCAACTGGATCTCCACATCTCGTAACACAAATGAAAATTGCCGTGTTTTTTTTTTTGTTGTTTCATTTACTATCCCCAGGGGTAGAGCGATAGCACAGCGGGTAGGGTGGTTGCCTTGCACGCAGCCGACCCGGGTTCGATTCCCAGCATCCCCTAGGGTCCCCCGAGCACCGCCAGGAGTGATTCCTGAGTGCATGAGTCGGGAGTCAGCCCTGAGCATCGCTGGGTGTGACCCAAAAAGGGGAAAAAAAAAAAAGTAACAAGAAGTCTCACAATGGAGGCGTTACTGGTGCCTGCTCCAGCAAATCGATGAACAACGGGAGGACGGTGCTACGACCCCCTTCCAAAACTCTCCTCTGATGGGAACTGGGGGGCAAGTTCCCCCATACACGCCGCCGGAGAGTACCTGGTCGCAGCCCCAGGATCATGAGAAGCAGTGAGAGAGAGAGATGTCCTGATCTGCCTGGCCAAGTCATTCCAGGCCGCATGGGCACAGGCACGGGGTGGGCAGGGGTCTCACTGGAGGTCCAGGCATCATTGCCAGGTTCTGCCTCTCACTCTGATCTCGCTTGATCTGTTAGGAAGAACTTCTGCCCACCCCCCAGTCTCAGCTGGGTCTGTGCCACTGAGGGTCTCCGGGGCCCCTCCGGAGTGCAGGCCCCTTCCCGCCTCAGAAACCGGCTTTGAGCAGCTGGTGTCCTGAGTGGGTCGTCAGAGAGAGAAGGGAGACCGGGTAGCAGACGCTCTAGCAGGTAAGAGTGGACCCAGCAGCAACCAGAAGGGGAAATGCAAGGTAATCAGGCAGCACCCATAGCACAGCGGTAAGGCGCTTGCCTTGTGCGCGGCCAGCCCGGCCGAGCCGGGTTCGATTCCTCCGCCCCTCTCGGAGAGCCCGGCAAGCTCCCGAGAGTATCTCGCCCGCACGGCAGAGCCTGGCAAGCTCCCCGTGGCGTATTTGATATGCCAGACACAGTAACAACAAGTCTCATGATGGGGACGTTACTGGGCCCGCTCGAGCAAATCGATGAACAACGGGAGGACAGTGATTTTTATTAGTGACACACCATGAGGTGCAGTTGTAGACTTACAAATTTTCGTGCTTGGGTTTCAATTATACAAGGATCAAGTACCCATCCCTCCACCAGTGCCCATTTCCCACCACCACGGATCCCAGTATCCCTCCCACCCCTCATCCCCCCATCCCACCCTGCCTCGTGGCAGGGCACTCCCTTTTGTTCTCTCTCTCCTCTTGGGTGCTGTGGTTTGCAAAAGAGGCATTGAGTGGCAATCATGTTCGGTCTATAGTCTACTTTCAGCATGCTTCTCCCATCCTGGGAGGATCCTCCCAACACCCTTTATTTGGTGCTCCCTTCTTCAGGCAGTACCTATTAACATTTCCAGGGAATCAAAAAAGACATTTTAGCAGTGGCAGGAAACGCACAGAAAGGGCTGCTCCCTGCCAGTGGTGCTGAGACTGTGGACAGCTACCCTGTGCTACAAAGTGTAATGGGGCACATCTTACTACTCCGACTTACTTCATACCCAGCACACAGTATGAAGACGTCGGTTCAGGTTCGAGATGCAGTGACAGAGCACTGCCTTGTGTGTTGAGATTCAGGGTTCCGCCATGCAGTACCACCAAAGGAAAAAAAAGAAAAAGCATTGTAAGGGGCTGGAGCGATAGCACAGCGGGGAGGGCGTTTGCTTTGCACGCGGCCGACCCGGGTTTGATTCCCAGCATCCCATATGGTCCCCCGAGCACCGCCGGGGTAATTCCTGAGTGCAGAGCCAGGAATAACCCCTGAGCATCGCTGGGTGTGATTCAAAAAGCAAAAATAAATAAAAAAATATAAAAAGAACAGAACACAGACTTAGCATGTGCAAGTTTCTGTTAAAAAAAAATTGTAAGTACCCATCAATGGGGAAATGAAAAAAAGAGGGGAAAAAAACAAAAAAACCTGTGATCTGAGGGCTGGAGTGATAGCCCAGCGGAGAGGGCGTTTGCCTTGCACGTGGCCAACCCGGGTTTGATTCCCAGCATCCCATAGGGTCCCCCGAGCACCGCCAGGAGTAATTCCTGAGTGCAGAGCCAGGAGGAACCCCTGTGCGTCTCCGGGTGTGACCCAAAAAGCCAAAAAAAAAAAAATTCTGTGATCTAACAGATAAAGCACTTAGATCAAAAAATACTGCAGGGGACTGGATCACTACTACAGCGACTAGGGCGTTTGCGGTGGACACTTGGAACCCCGTATCCCTGAGGACAGAGCCAGGAGTAACCCCTGAGCACTGCTAGGGGTGACTCCCAAGCTCGAGAAACTGGACCAAAAAAAATACTGGCGCAGGAAGAGATGTTTGAAGGCTCTGTGTCCCTAAAGCAATGCCCTCAACCCACTGCGTGCATGCATCTGAACTTGTGCTTGAGAAAGGGAGCTGGGGTGGGAAGCGGCTGCAGGAATTCTTTCAAATTCCAAGTAGAAATTGGTCGGAGGGGAACGGCTAGGAGAGCAGAGCTTGGCTTGGGGCGGTGAGAAGAATCTGCACTTTTTAGTTATTATTATTAGTCACTTTATTATTATTTTTTATTATTGCTTTTTTTTTTTTTTGGTTTTTGCGTCACACCTGGCGATGCACAGGGGCTCCTCCTGGCTCTGCACTCAGGAGTTACTCCTGGCGGTGCTCGGGGGACCCTATGGGATGCTGGGAATCGAACCCGGGTCGGCCGCGTGCAAAGCAAACGCCCTCCCCGCTGTGCTATCGCTCCAGCCCCTGTTATCATTTTTTTGTTTTTGTTTTCAGGTCACACCTGTGGTGCTCAGAACTCACTCCTGGCTCTGATTGTTATCATTTCTTGTTTTGGGGTCACACCCGTGGTGCTTGGAGCTTAGTCCTAGCTCTGATTGTCATTATCATTATTTCTTTTTTGTTTTGGGGTCACATCCATCAGTGCTCGGGCCTCACTCCTGGCTCTGATTGTCATTTTTTTTTTGTTTTTGGGTCACACCTGTGGTGCTCAGAGCTCACTCCTGGCTCTGACTGTCATTATTATTATTATTATTATTATTTTTGGATCAGATACATTGTTGCTCAGGGCTCACTCCTGGCTCTGTTATTATCATTATTTTGCTTTTGGGGTCCACCCAGCGGTGCTTAGGACTCACTCCTGGCTGTCATTAGTATCATCATTCCTGTTTGGGGCCACACCCATGGGTGCTCAGGCCTCACTCCTGGCCCTGACTGTCATTCCCATCATTATTTTGGTTTCGGGGTTGCACCCTGCAGTGCTCAGGGCTCACTCCTGGCTCTATCATTAGCATGATTCCTGTTTGGGACCAGCACCCATGGGTGCTCAGGGCTCACTCCTGGCTCTGACTGTCATTAGCATCATTATCTTGGCGTAGCACCCGCGGTGCTCAGGGTTCACCCCTGGTCCAGCCTGTCATCAGCATCATCATTCCTGTTGGTGCCCCCCGAGGGACAGTAACGGGCAGTAACGGGGGTCGCTGGGCGCCCGGGGGTCGGTTTGGGTCCGCGGCGGCCGCCGGGTCCTAGTGCGAGGCGGGTTGCCCCCTGGACGCCCGGGAAGGGGGTCGCGCCCCCCGATCCCCAACCTGAGCGAGCCCCGCGGGGACTTTGGGGCCATTCGCGGGCGCCCCCCGGGAAGCGGGTTATCTAGTGGGGGGCTGCTCCTGGCGGGCGAGGGAGCGGGGCTAGCGGGGTGCCCAGGGCGCGGCCGGCTCTGCCCCCGGCCCGGGTCCCCCAGCGCGTCCGGGAGGGCGCTGGGGTCTCCCCGTGTTGCCCGGGGGTGGGATCTGCGCGCCCCGAGGCGGAGCTCCGGGCGCTGGAAAACTTGCCTCGAGTTGCATCAGCGCGGCGAGACCCGAGCATCCGAGCCCGGAGCTCCGCGGCCCCAGAACGCGTTGCGAGGAGGTTTGTCCCCCGGCGGCCGCCGTCGCCGCTGCGCCTGCAAAAAGTTTGTCCCCCGGCGGCCGCCGTCGCCGCTGCGCCCGCAAAAAATTTGTTCCCCGCCGGCCGCCGTCGTAGCTGCGCCCGCAAAAAGTTTGTTCCCCGGCGGCCGCCGTCGCAGCTGCGCCCGCAAGAAGTTTGGCCCCCGCCGGCCGCCGTCGCAGCTGCGCCGGGGGGAGTTTGGCCGCCGCCGGCCGCCGTCCTTCCGCCTCGCTTCCGGGAACGCGCAGGTGTCTGCGGGGTCCGGCGGGCGCGGCGGCGCCATGGAGCCCCCGAGGCCGGACGAGGAGTGGGGTGAGCGGGCCGGACGGGTCGGGGGTCCCGGCGAGCCCCTCGGTCCATTCCCTGCGGGGCGCGGGCCCCCGCGTAGCCCCTGACAAGCCCCGCGCGACCCCCGGGCGCGGGCCCCGGCGTGACCCCGGGCCGCCCCCAGGTCCCCGGGCGACCCCCGGGCGCCGTCCCGGCCCTGTCCGCGGGCGACCCCGGCGTGTCCCCCCGCCGGACCCCTCCGGTGGTGCCCCCGGGGTGTCCCTGTCCGGCCCCGATGTCCAGCAGGAGGCGGCAGGGGGTCCCCGCCCCCCGCGCCTGCCGCGTCTGGAAGGTTCTCCCCGCAGTAGTGACCGCTCGCGCCCCTCTGTCCCCCCAGACTCCGCCCTGTTCGCCGAGCTCGGCTACTTCCCCGAGGCCGAGGACCCCCAGCTGGACGCGGGGACCGAGCCATATGTAAGTGACCCCGAGGGTCAGCTCGCAGCTGTGCCGCTGCCCGGCCCTGGACACCACGGGTGACCCCGGGGAGGGTCACGAGGCACTTGGCCGGCAGGGGCAGCGGGGACGGTCGATCGGGCAGCCCTGGACACCACGGGTGACCCCGGGGAGGGTCACTAGGCACTTGGCCGGCAGGGGCAGCGGGGACGGTCGATCGGGCAGCCCTGGACACCACGGGTGACCCCGGGGAGGGTCACGAGGCACTTGGCCGGCAGGGGCAGCGGGGACGGTCGATCGGGCAGCCCTGGGCACTACGGGTGGCCAGGGAGGGTCACTAGGCACCGGGGATGATCGGGGGTCCAGGGGGGTCGTCGCATCCCGCCCGGGGAACTGCAGCATTGAAAGCGGAGTGAAGCGAGCGGAGCGTGGAGCTGACCCTCCCCGTTGGCCTCCGAGACCCTCCTCCCAGGCCGGGTCCGAGGGGACAGCCCGTGGCTTTTCCTTTCTGGCCGGAGTCCACGCGAGGAGAGATGCTCAGGGCCCTCCCCTGAGTCTGGGTGGTGCCCGGTGCCCTGCAGGGTGCTGGGGATGTGGCCTGGGGTCGCCTTGACTCTGCAGGTCCAAGACCACCCGGGAGCAGCGATCAGGCTGGAAGCCCTGGACCACACAGTCTCTTCTGGGCTGAAGTCAGTGCCGGGGGGGCCAGGGGACCTCCTTGGGCTGCTTTGCACCCAGGAGGCCCCCGGGCTCATCCCTGGTACTGGGTGCTGAGTGAGCCCTCACTGCTCTGGGCTATGCCCACAGGGACGTGGTTACGGGGAGCCTGGAACCCAGGCATCTTGGTGCTGATGCAGAAAGCTTGCAGAGTTGGAGGCTTCTGAAATGACACAGTTGCCAGGCTTAAAAGTTTTTTTATTTTGTTTTGATTTTTTTGGCATTTGGGGTGGAGCGATAGCACAGCGGGGAGGGCGTTTGCCTTGCACGCCACAAACCCGAGTTCGATTCCTCCGCCCCTCTCGGAGAGCCCGGCAAGCTACCAAGAGGATCTCACCCACTTGGCAAAGCCTGGCAAGCTCCCCGTGACGTATTCCATATGCCAGACACAGTAACAAGTCTCACAAGGTTACTGGGCCTGTTCGAGCGAATCGATGAACAACGGGAGGACAGTGACAGTGACAGTGGCATTTGGGGTCACACCTGGCGATGCTCAGGGCTTGCTACTCCTGGCTCTGTACTCGGGAGTCACTCCCTGTGGTGCTCTGGGGACCAAATGGGATGCCGGGGATCGAACCCGGGTCAGCTGCGTGCAAGGCGAACACCTTCCCCGCTGGACACTAGTCCAGCTCTGGCCCCAGGATTTTAAAGTTTTGATAGTAGATTCGAGCGAGGTGGAAGCCCAGACAGAAGCTTGAGAAGGAGTGGTCCCCAACGCACGTGACTGTCCTCACGTCTCCGTAGATCACCTGCATCAATATTTGCTCAATGAAGCGCCGTCTGATAAGGAAGCAGTTCCCCCCTCCCCTTCTCTTCCGTTCTCAGTGAAACTCAGCTGCATCCTGGACGTTTTGAAATGCTAGTGTTTTTTCTAGACAACGGTGACGGAGGGATTGTTAATCATTGCTGGATTGATGATTGTGGCCCGTGGCCTGAGGCTGGCCTCTCTGTTGGTGCCACTTTTGGTAGATGGACTCCCTCTGGCTCCGGGTCACCACTGTCCTGTGACGTGTTCTTGGCCCTCGTCCCTAATCGCAGAAGTTTAAAATAGCAGCTGGCAGCGCCTCCGCCACAGACTGTGAATCTGTGGGATCAGGCAGCAGCTCTGTGTGTGTGTGTGTGTGTGTGTGTGTGTGTGTATGCGTGTGCGCGTGTGCGTGTGTGCTTTGTGTGTGTGTGTGTGTGTAGGTCTAGGGGGCCGGGGGTTGGCCTGTGATGTGCTTCGTGTGTGTGTATGTGGCTTTGTGTGTGTGTGTGTGTGTGTGTGTAGGGGGCCGGGGGTTGGCCTGTGATGTGCTTCATGTGTGTTGTATGTGTGTGTGCTTTGTGTGTGTGTGTGTGTAGGTGTTGGGGGCCGGGGGTTGGCCTGTGATGTGCTTCGTGTGTGTGTATGTGGCTTTGTGTGTGTGTGTGTGTGTGTGTGTAGGGGACCAAGGGTTGGCCTGTGATGTGTTTCGTGTGTGTATGTGGCTTTGTGTGTGTGTGTGTGTGTGTGTGTGTGTGTGTGTGTAGGGGGCCGGGGGTTGGCCTGTGATGTGCTTCGTGTGTGTGTGTGTGTGTGTGTAGGTGTAGGTGTAGGGGGCCGGGGGTTGGCCAGTGACGTGCGTCTTGCTCACCCCGACTCATGCTTGCACCTGCGTTAAAAAAAACCCCCAACGGTCCAGGGGCCGGACAGATAGCACAGTGGGCAGGGCGCTTGCCTCGCGCATGCCAACCCGGGTTCCACCCCCAGCCCCAAACAGGGGCGCCCCCTGCCCTGCGGAAGTGATCCCTGAGCATCGCTGGCTGTGGCCCCAAGCCAAACAGCAAGGGCGAGGGCCGGGTCAGGCTGTGGGGGGACTCCCGAGCCCACAGGGTGGGTGTCCGGGACCGAGCCAGGGAGCAGCTTTCCGACTGGTGGGTGGCAGTTACGGTGACAGATTGGGGAGGGAGCGGGAACAGCTTTCTGATTGGATGGCAGTTACAAGGAGGAGCAGTTTTTTGATTGGTGGGCGGCAGGGGGAGCAGGCTTTTGATTGGTGGGCAGCAGCGGTGCAGCTTTCTGATTGGTGGGCGGCAGCTACCGGGACAGAAGGAGGGAGCGGGAACAGCTTTCTGATTGGATGGCAGTTACCTGGACAAGGAGGAGCAGCTTTTTGATTGGTGGGCGGCGGGGGAGGAGGAGGAGGAGTAACAGTGCAGCTTTCTGATTGGTGGGCGGCAGCTATGCGGGCAGAAGGAGGGAGTGGGGAACAGCTTTCTGATTGGATGGCAGTTACCAGGACAAGGAGGAGCGGCTTTCTGATTGGTGGGCGGCAGCGGTGAGGCTTTCTGATTGGTGGGTGGCAGCTATGCGGACAGAAGGAGGGAGCGGGGGAACAGCTTTCTGATTGGATGGCAGTTACCAGGACAAAGAGGAGCGGCTTTCTGATTGGTGGGCAGCAGCGGTGAGGCTTTCTGATTGGTGGGTGGCAGCTATGCGGACAGAAGGAGGGAGCGGGAGCAGCTTTCTGATTGGATGGCAGGTACCAGGCCAAGGAGGAGCGGCTTTTTGATTGGTGGACATCAGGGGGGAGCAGCTTTCTGATTGGTGGGCAGCATTGGTGCAGCTTTCTGATTGGTGGGCAGCATTGGTGCAGCTTTCTGATTGGTGGGCGCGGCAGTTATTGACAGTGTCCAGTGTTTTGCCTTTTAAGCGAATTTTTGACATTTCAACCATTTTTCTGCCGATTTGAAACCTGCAGGAGAACGCTTTTGATAACCTTGATTTCGACCTGGACCTGATGCCCTGGGAGGCCGGCCTCTGGGACCTCAGCAGGCCGCTCTGCACAGGTACCTCTGGCGACACGTGGGGGCCTGGGGTGGGGGCCGCCCCTCCCCTCTGCTGTGGCCCCGACCCCCGTTTCCTGCCAGTGAGCCAGAGGAACGCTCTGGGCTTTGCCTCGCATGGCAGCTGCTTTCCCGGAGAATTTTTTCCTGTTTCCTCCACTTTGCGGAAGGACTTTGGGAAATGTCCCCGGTGTGGCCAGCGCTAGGACAGAGCCGGCGTCGGAGGTGTCCACTGCATCCATGCATCCACTTCTCCTTCCCTGGCCTAGTTCTGGGGTGCCGGGCTCGGACCCCACGGAGGGCAGGAACCTAGACACGTGTCCGGCTACCACCGCCATGTCCTGGACTTGGGGCCCGGCAGGCTGGGCTGAAGCGTGACCTTGTGTCTTGCAGTGGACGACATCAAGACAGAGCCTCTGCCCCTGTCCCCGGCCGCCTCGCCGTACTCGGTGGAGTCTCCCGAATCCCTTGTCTCCTCCTCCTCTCCCTCCTCCTCTTCCTCCTCCTCTTCCACACAACATGTGCCTGTAAGTGGCCAGGCCTGGCCTGCGTCTGCTCTGTCTGTGCTGGGGCGGGTCTGGGGCTGAGGTGTGGGGCTTGGCCTGGCCTTCCTGCTTCCTGCTTGCTGTCCCCACCGTGGGGGCGACCAGGGTGGCTGTGTCAGTGACCCCTTGGCACGCAGCCCTTGATGCTCTCCTTCCGGCGGGGATGCCCGGCTCCATGTCTGGGCCAAGAGTCTGCAGCTTCTGCCAAGGATGCTCCTTGCTGCAATGACACCCTCAGATCGGACAGGGGGTGTCACAGCCGTCGTCTGTAGCCGCGGGGGGCCGCCTTGTCCTCTGTGTGGCCTTGAGGCGCTTCCTCGCCCATGAGTTCCACCAGGAGCTTCTTTGATCGTTTGTTTTTGTTTTGTTTTGTTTTGTTTGCTTTTTTGGGTCACACCCGGCGACACACAGTTTCCTCCTGGCTCTGCACTCAGGAATCACTCCTGGCGGTGCTCGGGGGACCCTATGGGATGCCGGGGATCGAACCCGGGTCGGCCGCGTGCAAGGCAAATGCCCTCCCCGCTGTACTATCGCTCCGGCCCCCTGTAAGGATTTTTAATTTTTTTAGATTTATTTTTGCTTTTTTGGGTCCCACCCGGCGATGCTCAGGGGTTCCTCCTGGCTCCGCACTCAGGAAATCTTTACTGGCGTTGCTCGGGGACCCTATGGGATGCCGGGAGTCGAACCCGGGTTGGCTACGTGCAAGGCAGACCCCCTCCCCGCTGTGCTATCCTCCGGCCTCACTGACCCTTTGTTTTGCCCAGGAGGAGTTGGACCTGTCCGCCGCTTCTCAGCCGTCTCCCCTGTCCCTGTACGGGGAGGGCTCTCCCGTGAAGGAGGACAAGCCGGCCGGGCCACACAGCAAGCCTGGTATGCCCCCGGCGGCTGCAGGGGGTGGGGGGGTGGGCGGGTGAAGGCTTGGCCGTGCTTCCCGTGGGTGGCCTCCTCCCGAGTGGCATCGTCCCCCTTGGAGAGGTGGCACCTGGCGCCTCACTCAGCACCAGCCTTTGTCCCTGACCCTGTGCCTGGTTCAGAGCTGCGGGCAGGAAGGCGGCCCCCGTTCCCCCCCCCGGGGGCTCACCTTGGGCGTCAGAGTCGGAGGTGACCACCCCCGGGCACGGTGACGGGGGCTGTGGAGCTACTCACGTCTGCTGTCCCCCGCCCCGCTTGACCACCCAGAAAATGGACCCGTTCCGAAGAGGAAGACGCAGGCGAGTTCGAAGCCTTCGATTCAGCCCAAGCCTCTGCTACTTCCGGCAGCACCCAAGGCCCCGGCGAACGCCAGCGTCCCGGCAAAGGCCATCCTCATCCAGACGCTGCCCGCGCTGGTACCCCTGGCCAAGCAGCAGCCCCTCATCAGCATCCACCCGGCACCCCCGAAAGGTACCGCGTGCGGCCAGCTGGGGGTCGGTGGGCCCGCACGTGCCCCGGTTGGGTGGATGCAGGCAGGTCCCGGACGGAGGCTGTGGAGTCCTGCGACCACTGCAGGGACAGTAGCTGGTCCTCACGGAAACCTGAGGCCTGGAGAGAGAGTGCAGGGGTCAGGCACTGGGCTAAGGGCAGGAGAGGTGCAGGGGTGAGGCATTGGGCTGAGGGTTAGGGAAAGTGCAGGGGTGAGGCACTGGGATGAGAGCCAGAAAGAGTGCGGAGTGCGGGGGTGAGGTACTGGGCTCAGGGCAGAAGAGAGTGCAGGGGTGAGGCACTGAGCTGAGGGATGGGGAGAGAGTGCAGGGGGGGAGGCACTGGGCTGAGGGCCGGGAAGAGAGTGCAGGGGTGAGGCACTGAGCTGAGGGATGGGGAGAGAGTGCAGGGGGGGAGGCACTGGGCTGAGGGCCGGGAAGAGAGTGCAGGGGTGAGACATTGGGCTAAGGGTCAGGGAGAGTGCAGGGGTGAGACACTGAGCTGAGAGATGGGGACAGAGTGCAGGGGTGAGGCACTGGGCTGAGGGCAGGAGAGAGTGTAGAGGTGAGGCATTAGGCTGAGGACCGGGAAGAGAGTGCAGGGGTGAGTCATTGGGCTAAGGGTCAGGGAGAGTGCAGGGGTGAGACACTGGGCTGAGGGCAGGAGAGGTGCAGGGGGGGAGGCACTGAGCTGAGGGATGGGGAAAGAGTGCAGGGGTGAGGCACTGGGCTGAGGGAAGGAGAGAGTGCAGGGGGGAGGCATTGGGCTGAGGATCAGGGAGAGTGCAGGGGTGAGACACTGAGCTGAGGGATGGGGAGAGAGTGCAGGGGGAGGCATTGGGCTGAGGGCAGGAGAGAGTGCAGGGGGGAGGTACTGGGCTGAGGGCAGGAGAGAGTGCAGAGGTGAGGCATTAGGCTGAGGGCCGGGAAGAGAGTGCAGGGGGAGGCACTGGGCTGAGGGCAGGAGTGCAGGGGGGAGGCACTGAGCTGAGGGCAGGAGAGAGTGCAGAGGTGAGGCATTAGGCTGAGGGCCGGGAAGAGAGTGCAGGGGTGAGGCATTGGGCTAAGGGTCAGGGAGAGTGCAGGGGTGAGACACTGAGCTGAGGGATGGGGAGAGAGTGCAGGGGTGAGGCACTGGGCTGAGGGCAGGAGAGAGTTCAGCGGTCAGGCACTGGGCTGAGGGCTGGGAAGAGAGTGCAGGGGTGAGGCTCAGAACTGAGGCCCGGGAGTGTGTAGGCTCTGGCTCTGGACTGACCCAGGATCTTGTTGCCGCATGTGGCCCTTCCAGCTTTGTCAGGATGATCCCTGAGCACCCCTGGGTGTGCACCCCGCCCCGCCCTCGCCCCCCAAGTACAAGGGGGCTGGGGACGGGAGAAAATGGAGAGGGGTCTCTCTCTTGAGTTCCTGACTCCGCGAATGACTGTCCTGCCTTGGCTGGTGTTCCGGCTCTGTGCTCCGGCCCCGGCACTTCTGCCCTTCGGGGTCTTCCGGAATCAGAGCACCCGCCGCCTTTGGGCGCTGGCCCCTGCACCCCTGCCCCCGTCCTGGCGGGTGCCGCCTGCGCTTCTGCCGCTCGTCCACCAGGGGGCCTCGCAGAGCCGCGGTCAGCCGCTCACCCTTGGCCCGGCCGCGGCTTTGAGTGACCGCGCTTGAGCCCCGGAGCCCCGGGCGGGACCCCCGAGCACCAGCGGGTGGGACCCCGGAGGCAAAAAGCCCGACAGGAGGAACAGAGCTGGGGAGGGGCGCTGCCCGCCCGCCGCTGCCCGCCCGCCGCTGACCGCCCGCCGCTGACCGCCCGCCGCTCTCCCCGCAGCCCCGACCGTGCTGCTGTCGCCGCCCGCCGTGGTGCAGCTGCAGGCGCCCGGCGTGCTGCCCTGTCCCCCGCCCGTGCTGGCCGTGGCCGGCGGCGCCGCGCAGCTGCCCAACCAGGTGGTGAGCGTGGTGCCCGTGCCCGGCAGCCCGGCCGGCGGGAAGGTGTCCGTGGCCAAGCCCGTCCTGCCCAGCCCGGCCAGGAGCGCCGGCTCCGACGTGAGTACCCGCGGCCCCGGCCCCGGCCCGCCCACGGGCGCGGCGGGCACCCCGGGCGCTGACCCCGGGCATCGTGCGGGCCGGCGCCGGGCAGTGCGGGGCCGGCCGGGCCGGCCGGGCAGGTCCAGCGCGTGGCCGAGCCCTGCTGACGTGGCTCCTGCTGCCTTGGCCGCCCTGCCTGGCCGCGGCCGGGCCGCGCCTGGTTCAAATTAGCCCCGCCTGGCCCCGGCCAGCCCTGCCCGGCCCGGCCCGGTCCTGGGCCCCCCTGCCCGGCAGCGCCCACCCTGGGGACTGGGACGGTCAGCGCGGGGTAGCAGAGCCTGGGTCCGGGGGTGGTGACGCAGCTGGGGGCGGAGCCGTGAGTGAGGATAGGCGGGCGGGGGGAGGGGGTGGAGTCGTGCTTGTGACGTCACGCAGTTTGGGGGATTGGTTTAGCTGTGGGGGCAGAGCCGCGCTTGTGACGTCAGACTGTTGGGCCAGGCGGTGCCGCTGTAGGCGCCGAGCCGTGACGTCAGACTGTTGGGGGTCTGTTTCGCCGCGGGGGCGGAGCTGTGACGTCAGGCTGGGGGTAGGTTCAGCCGTGGGGGGGTCGGCCGCGTGCGCGTGACGTCACCCCTCCCGCCCCGCCCCGCCCCCAGCCGGCCGTGCTGCGGCGGCAGCAGCGCATGATCAAGAACCGCGAGTCGGCCTGCCAGTCGCGCCGCAAGAAGAAGGAGTACCTGCAGGGGCTGGAGGCGCGCCTGCGGGCCGCGCTGGGCGAGAACGAGCGCCTGCGCCGCGAGAACGGCTCGCTCAAGCGCCAGCTGGACGAGGTGGTGTCCGAGGTGCGGCCCCGCCCGGAGGCCCCGCCCCGCCCCTGTCCCTGCGCCGCCCGCCCGGCCCCGCCCCGCCCCGCCCGGCCCCGCCCGCCCAGCCCCGCCCCCATCCCTGCCCCGCCCACCTGTCCTCACCCCTATTCTGCCCCGCCCGCTTGGCCCCGCCCCCGCCCATCTCGGCCCCGCCTCTGCCTACATGCCCTGCCCCTGGCCCCACCCCGGCCCCGCCCATCTGGCCCTGCCCCGCCCACCTGGCCCCGACCCCGCCCACTGGCTCCGCCCTGTTTCGGCCCCGCCCCGCCCCTCTCCCTGCTCCGCCCACCTGGCCCCACCACGCCCATCTCGGCCCCGCCTCTGCCTACATGCCCTGCACCTGGCCCCACCCCGGCCCCGCCCCCTATCCCTGCCCCGCCCACCTGGTCCTGCTCCGCCCACCTGACCCCGCCCCTGTCCTGCCCCGCCCACCTGTTCTCACCCCTGCTCTGCCCCGCCCGCCTGGTCCGGCCCCGCCCACCTGGCCCTGCCCTTACCCTGCCCACCTGGCCCCGCCCCGCCCATCTCGGCCCCGCCTCCGCCTACATGCTCTACCCCGGCCACGCCCGCCCTGCCCCGCCCCTGGCCCTGCCCCCGCCCACTGGCTCCGCCCTGTTTCGGCCCCGCCCACCCGGCCCCGCCCCCTCGCCACCCGCCCCCCCCCTCCCGCCCTGCTGGGCCTAAGGGACCCGACCCGCTGCCCCCCCAGAACCAGAGGCTCAAGGTGCCCAGCCCCAAGCGCAGGGCCGTGTGCGTGATGGTCGTGCTGGTGTTCCTGGTGTTCAGCTACGGGCCGGCCAGGTGAGTGGGGGGAGCGGGGGTGGGGGGGAGAGAGGAAGGGGAGGAGGGAGGGGGAGGAGGGGTCGCCAGGAGGAGGAGAGACCCCTTTGGGGCTTGTGTCCTCAGGGACACACACACACACACACACACACACACACACACACCCGGGGCTGTTCCGGAACCCCCGTGCCCAGCCCCTCCAGCCACTCACTGGTCCCCTCCTCTCTCCTCAGCGTGCTGGAACCCGAGTCCAGAAGAACCAGCCCCGTGGGCAGCCCCGCCGGCCAGAGGCGGCACCTTCTCGAATTCTCCGCCAAGGAGGCGCCAGAAGCGTCGGATGGGGTCATCCAGAAAAACCACTACAGGTCAGAGGCCGCGGGTCTTGCGCACTGAGCTGCGGGCAGGAGGCTGGCGCCAGGCCCTCCCGGTGGGCTCACGGACCCCGGGACTGAAGGGTCCCAGCTGCCCTCTGGGACACCGGCTCCGATGCCGTTTCTGCGGGTGCCTCCAGCTTCCTCGGACCCTGTTCCTGGTCTCGGTTGCTGGGAGGCGCCTGTCTGGTCCTTGTTTGCGATGGGGACACCGTGTTTCTTTTCTTTCCGTTTTTTTAACGGAAAGAAAATTTTAATTTCATTGGGTCATAGTGAGAGAGGCCGTTGTGAAACTGCTCACGGTTGGGCTTCAGTCGTGAAATGATCTGACCCCCGTCCCCCCACCGGGTCATCTTCCCTGCCCCCGTTTCCTCCCGCCACCCCCCAGCTGCCTTGGTGGCAGGCTCTTTTCCTCTTCCGGTGAGACCGTTTTTCTGACACGACCTGTGATGCGTCCGACAGGCAGCCCGAGGTAGACCCCTGGGATATCCGTGTTGCCCCTGCTCCCCTGTTCCAGCCCAGCACCATCGCGGTGATCACCTATAGTCCATCAGTAGTTAGAGGCAGTTACGTGAAGCACAGTTTCTAGAACATTCTGTGATCTAGTTGACAATGACGCCAATTGTTTTTGTTTTCTTTTTTTGCTTTTTGGTTCACACCCGGCGATGCTCAGGGGTTCCTCCTGGCTCATGAACTCAGGAATTACTCCTGGCAGTGCTTGGGGGACCCTATGGGGTGATGGGGATCGAACCCGGGTCGGCCGTGTGCAAGGCCAACGCCCTCCCCACTGTTTTCCTATTGCTCCAGCCCTGCCGGATGTTTTTCGAGCTGCCTTCCTTGCTGTTGTTATTTTTATTTATTTATTTAGCTTTTTTTTTTTTTTTGTCACACTCGGCAATGCACAGGGGTTCCTCCTGGCTCTGTGCTCAGGAATTACCCCTGGCGGTGTTCAGGGGACCATAAGGGATGCTGGGAATCGAACCCAGGTCGGTTGCGTGCAAGGCCAACGCCCTCCCCGCTGTGCTATTGCTCCAGCCCTGTTGTTGTTATTTTTTTAACTCCGGGCGGTGCCTGGCGGTGCTCAGGGCTTCCTCCTGGCTCTGCGCTCAGAGGTCACTCCTGGCGGGGCTGGGCATGGACCCGGGTTGGCCACCTACAAGGCCTGTCCCTCCGCCCCAGCCCCCTGCTCCTGGAGGAGCAGTTCCCAGCGCCGACGTTTTGTCTGAGTCTTCAGAGCTGACGGAACGCAGGCCCCCCCCGCCGTGGCACCCGGTCCTGGCACTGGCCTGGCACACGGGACGCCCTGCTGACAGCCGAAGGGAGGGTCGGTCCCCTCTGCCTGGCCGTGACGTCCCTTCCGGCCACGTGTCCAGGCCATGTCCCGGCCGTGAGACCCCGGGGACTTGGGCGGGTCTGGGCCCGGGCCCTGTCCTTGCGCGTCCCCAGACGGTGACCACTTCCGTGGACTGTTGCAGGTCCGAGCACGCCGTGTCGGACAACAAGGCCCTGATGGTGCTCAGCGAGGAGCCGCTGCTCTACATCCCGCAGCCCCCCTGCCAGCCCCTCGTCAACATCACCGAGTCGCTCAGGTGAGGGCGGGGGTCCCTGGACCGGACCCCCCAGCAGGGACGCCGCTTCTCTTTCCCTGCCTCGGAAGCAGCCTGGGGTGTCCCCCCAACCCCGTGTCACCCTCCGGGGGCGCTGGGCCGTCTGTGGGCGGGGCACCCTGGCCCCGGGAGCCCTGCCCGCGCCCACCCACCCCTCTCCCCGCTGTCTCCCTGCAGGCTGAACCACGAGCTGCGGGGCTGGGTGCACCGGCACGAGGTGGAAAGGACCAAGGCGCGGAGGACGGCGGGCCACCCGCACAAGGGCCGCGTCCTGCAGGTGACCAGCGGGCGTCGGCTCCTCCCGCCCTGCCCGGTGGCCCCCAGGGCGCCCTCTGCTCCCCGCGCTCCCGGGCATTGGGTGCCAGGCCCTTGCCCGGGCGTGTGGGTGCGGAGTCCGTCCCTCCCCTCCCCTGCATGGTGGCTGGAGGACGCTTTGGGGCTCTTCCGTATCCACTTGGCATTTTCCTTTTGGGATGGTTTTGTTCCTCGGAAACGCTCTAAAATGCTCAGCGCGCAGTGCTCACGCGCGTTTCCCCGCAGGGCGCTCTGGAGCCGGGCTCGGGGTCGCAGCTCATGGCCGTCCAGTACACGGAGCCCAGCACCCTCAGGTGAGGACGAGCTCCCGGTGCCCCGCCTGAGCCCGGGACGGCTCCCGGGGCCGGGAGAGTCACCCCCGTCGGGTCACGGTCCTTGTCACCCACGGCCATCGCTGCTTGTAAGGCGCCGGGTCCGAGCATGAGACCAGCAGCTGGCCAGACGGGAGCCCGCGCCTGCCAGGAGAGGGCAGGGCTGAGGTGCGAGCCATTGTCCGGGGTGAACGATGCCCTGAACCATGCCTGGGGGTGACTCATCAGAGCAGCTCCGGCAGGCCGACAGCAGGCGTTGAGGGGACAGTGACCGTTTGGGCCTGAGCCCGGGAACTGCAGGTTAGGGCTGGGCACAGCGACATGTGTTGCCCTGTGCCTCTGAGCCACGCGGGGCAGCTGCCCAGGCCAGGGGAGGCCGCGACATCAGACCGTGCGGGACACAGGGCTGTCTGCGGGGACGCGCAGGGCCCAGAGCTGGTGTGTGAGGAGACACCCCGGGCCCCCGAAGCCTGTGTGTGTGGTGAGACTTGCCGAGCACTGGAGGGTCGGGGTGCATGGCAGGATGGGTGCCGGAGTCAGCACCGGGGTGCTCGAGTGAGTTCCGGGGTGCTAGACTGAGCATCAGGGTGCTAGAGCGAGTATTGGGGTGCTAGACCGAGGATCAGGGTGTTACAGTGAGCGTCGGGGTGCTCGAGCGAGTGTCGGGGTGCTAGAGTGATCATCAGGGTGCTAGAATGAGCATTGGGGTGCTCGAGCGAGCGTCGGGGTAAGGGGCGGCCGCAGTGAGTTGCATCCCCCGAGAGTTGACCAGGAAGGCCATGAGCGTTTCTGTCCAAACGGTCCCATAACCGGCTCCAGACTCAGGCTCGCTGCGGGGTCTGTGGCCGGGCTTCGCTCACCCCGCTGCCCCCCATCCCCCCCAGGAACCCCGGGAGCGAGCTGCAGGTGTACTACGCGTCCCCCAGGAGCTACCAGGACTTCTTCGAAGCCATCCGCAGGAGGGGTGACACGTTCTACGTCGTGTCGTTCCGAAGGGTGAGTCCCGGCTGCAGGGCGCCCGGCGCCTGGGCCTAAGCCCTGTGGGGTCCCCGGGGGGACGCCGGACGGGCTGAGCCGCGCTGTCTGCTCGGGGGTGCCAGGTGGACCCTTCTAGACGTCAGCTCCCGGGAGGGGGGCCGATCCCTGGGTCTGTGGGTCCCAGGCGCCCGTCCCCTCGCTGTCCTTCCCGTCGGGGTGAAAAGCGCGTCTCGTGACGCTGGTGCCGGTGCTGACGCCTTGTCCTGGCTGCTGTCCTTGCCCGAGGGGTCGGGCCCAGCAGTAGCTCAGGAGCTGGGACTTGGACCCCAGAGGACCAAGGGGACAGGACGCCTCTGTCCCCGGGCTCGCACAGGGTGTCGGGAAGGCCCTGGAGCTGGGGGCACCGAATGTCAGGGGCCAGACTGGCCGGGTTCAAGGCCATGCCCACCACTGAGTGAGGTCTTGGCCGGTGGGGAGGATTCCAGTGGACAGCCACGTGAGTGGGGACACGCAAGAGCCCCTTGGCCTGGGGGTCCTTGGCGGGAGAGACCCGTGTAAGCCGTTCCCTCACCTCTACCATCTGACCTGGCACCAGGGTCTGTCAACGGGGACAGAGAGCCGGGCAGCGGGGAGGGCGCCCCTGATCCCGGGGGTCCCTGAGTGCAGAGCTGGAGTTAGTCCTGGGTGCGGCCACGCGTGGCCCCCAGACCACCAAGCGTTCGAAGAGAGACTTCCAGGGAAAAGCATCCCCGGGTTCCCTCCCGAGCAGGCCTGACCCCCCCCTCGGCCCGAAGCCCATCTTCTCCGGAGCTGAGCGGCCGTGACGGCTCCGTCTGTCCCTCTGCTGTCCTGTCATCTGTCGCGGCCGGCCGGCCTCAGAGGGACACGCATTGGCCCAGAGCTCTGGGCAGTCCCGGCCGGGAGTTGCTCCCTGTGGAGCAGAGCAGAGCCCGGCCCTGTCCACCCACCGGCGCCCCGTGCTCTGTCCTCACGCTGCTGTCGGGGTCTGTGTCCCCGGGAGGGCGACCCGCTTCCTCCACAACCTGGTTTTGTACTTCTGGAGTTCTTGTAGAACTCGGAAAATATTGTCTGTTCGATCCAGCCGCCTAGAGGGGGTGTCACCAAAAAATGGGCAGCAGGGAATCATTCTGGAATATGCCCGTGTGTGTGTGTGTGTGTGTGTGTGTATGTGTGTGTGCGCACGCGTGCACACACATAGGTATGCATGTCTGTGTGTCTCTGGTTAAGTGTGTGTCTGTGTATGTGCACCTCTGTGTGTGTGCATTTCTCTATATGTGTGTCTTTGAGAACGTGTGTGTGTGTGTGTGTGCGTGTGTGCGCACGCCTCTCTGTATCTATGTGTGCTTGTCTCTATATGTGTGTCTCTGGGTAAGTGTGTGTCTCTGTGTGTGTCTCTGTGCACCTCTGTGTGTGTGTGTGTGTATGCATGTCTCTGTATATTGTATCTCTGGGAGTGTGTGTGTGCATGTCTCTATTTGTGTGTCTCTGGGAATGTGTGTGTGTGCGCGCACACCTGTGTGTATCTGTGTGCGTGTCTCTGTATATGTGTTTCTTTGGGTAAGCGTGTGTCTCTGTTTTTGTGTATATGTGCGCCTCTGTGTGTGTGTGTGTGCATGTCTCTGTACATGTGTGTCTCTGGGAATGCGTGTGTCTGTGTGTGTTAGGAGCCCGGGAAGCACACAGGCGCACAGCCCGTCCGAGGGAAACGGCTGCGGTCTCTCGGCGACGCTCAGGCTTGGCGCTCGTGCCTTATTTTTGACAGATGCTGTAAGAGAAACAAATCGTTGTTTGTTCCTCATTAGCATTAATGTTCTTCTGTTCAAGACAAAGTGTGGAGAAAGTGGAAAAGCGATTTTCTTTGCAGCAGGGCCACAGGGACGGGGCGAGGGGATTGAAACCAGGCGGGGATGATTTCACAGGCCCCCACCATGAGCACCGGCTGCTTTCCTCATGGCAAGGCCGGGGGGCGGGGGTGGGGTGGGGCGGGGGTGGGGGGTGGCCTTCCAGGGGAGCTCGGCCCTTGGGGTCGCCCTCCGAGCGGTCAGATTGCAGGAGAGAGAGAGAGAGAGAGAAACAGAGACAGAGAGACAGAGAGACAGAGAGAGAGAGAGAGAGAAAGAGAGAGAGAGTGTGTGTGTGTGTGTGTGTCTGGGTTTGGGTTTGTGTACATCTATGTGTGTGTCTGTGTGTCCATGCATATGTGTGCGTCTTGCATGTGTATTTGTGCATCTGTGTGTGTCTGTGTTTGTGTACATCTATGGGTGTGTCTGTGTGTGTTTACATCTGTGTGCATCTGTGTATGTCTGTGTAGTCTGTCCATGCATTTGTGTGTGTCTGTGTTTGTGTGTGCTTCTGTGTGTGCCCGTGTGTCTGCATCTGTGTGTGCTTGTGTTTGTGTGTCTGTGTGTGTGTCCATGTGTCTGTGTCTGGTGTGTGTGCGTCTGTGTCTGTGCACATCTAAGTGTGTGTCTGTCTGTGTGTCTGTGTATCTGTGTCTTATGTGTGTATGTGGGTGTATCCATGTATCTGTGTTTGTGTGCATGTCTGTGTGTGTCCGCGTTGTGCATCTGTGTGTGTGTGTGAGCGTGTGAGCTTTCGGCCCCCATACCCGCCCGTTGTCGCACTGTCTCCCCTGTCACACTGTCCCTCCAGATCCCCCGTGCGTGTCCAGTGAGGCGGGTAGTCCAGGGACGCTTGTCCCCTCGATGGCCGAGATTTTGAGCCATCGGCCTCTGCGCTTGGTCGCGACTTCCCCAGCAATGAACGGGAGCTGGGAGGCGGGAGGGTCTCTGCCGATTCTCTCCTGATCCCACGGTTTTTTATGGGCCAGAAATTCGAGAACCTTCCTTGGGGGAAGAGCCTGGGGGAGGGGTCCGCCTCGCCTCATGGGGTCCCTTTGAAGTTCCCTAGAGGCCCTCTGAAATACTCGCCTTCCTCTGAAATGTGCTTCCAGTTAGTGGCCTGGGCTGGCACGGGCGGGGAGTCCCGCGGTGTAGACGGAGAGGGTGGAAAGCCCCTTAGAGGGGCTCCGTGGGTGCCGCTGGGGGCGGGCGCGCTTTGACCTTTTAAAAGCCGAGGGGAAGGGGGGCAGGAAGTGGCGAGGGCCTTCTGCCCGCTGGTACCCAGACCTCTCGGATGGCCTTTGTGGCCTTTGTCGGGACGAGACCTTCTGGCCTCTCCTTCCCATCTGGAGCCGCGCCCCCCTTCTCATCGGTGAATTCTTTCTGGTTGAAATACAAGACGGTCGGCCCCGTGCAGATAACAGAGCTGTTTGGAGAGAGGCCGCTTGGGCATCCTCAGCCGCGGGTCCGAATGCTTTCTTCCAGGCCAGCCATGCCTGACCCCGTCAGCCCCCACCCCGAGCCGGGCAGCAGTGCCCCCAAGCCCCGAGGCTCTGTCAGCCGGGGCCGTGCCTCAGACCTCCCTGGAAGGTGTCGGGAGCTGGAGCGGGGAGTTTCCCGAGCCTGGTGTTTGGGTTTGATGGTGTCAGAAATGACATCAACCGTTCCCCTGAAGGTCTGCTTGGTTCGCTTTCCGGAAAGGTCTATTTATTCTTGGTCACGGGTCCACACCAGTGATGCTCAGGGCGGACTCCTGGCTCTGTGCTCACCCCTAGTGAGGGTCTGGCGCCGGGAGGGGTTCCAATCCTGGGCAGCCAAGGGCCAGGCCAGCACCTGACCCTCTGAACTGTCGCTCCGGTCCCTCAGGGAAACGCTTATTAAGTGTGCCAGCCTCAGCCGCCTCTGTCCACCCATCTAGAGGGTTCACCAGTAAAGCTGGCTCTTGACAAGAGGGGTGCCCCGGCACAGACTGGGGGCGCGGTGGGCTGCCCCAGGGGGTCCTGTAGAATCTGCTCAGGGCTGCGCTGAGGCTGCCTGGCCCACATGGCCCCTTGCTTCAAGAGGAGCAGGGCTATAAAGGCTTGTATGGGACTACCATGGGATGCTGTCCCCACTGCCAGGGACCTGTCAGGGGCCTTTCAGTCCCCTGCAGTGTAAACGCTGAGTCTCCCTTGGAGTTAGTGGGCGCTGGACCTGGCGTTTGCTTCTAAGCATCGTGCCGGCCGCACCCCTGCCAGTCCCAGAGGTAAAGCCATGCAGGGCAGGGGGTCCCTCCTACCCACCGTGCCCCCCAGCCCATCTCAGGGTGCCCAGGACAGGCAGGTGGCTGCTGGTGGCCTGCGCGTCTGCACACGGGAGAGGGTGGGTTGAGAAAGACATCCCGGAAGCCAGGAAGAAAATGTCACAGATGCATCCCAGCAACGCTGTGAAACTCGCTCGGAAGAGTGATGTTTTCAGATTCGATCTCAGAGTCTCGAAACTTGCTCGAGTCCCTTAAAAAAAAAAAAGGCAGTGATTGCAAAACCAAGCGGCAGAGTACCCCCCTTTCCTCTCGGTTATAATTAGGTGGAAAGTTTCGGGAGTGACGCGCCCCCATCGAAATAAACCCCATAATAACACGTTTGCAGAACTTTTCCCCCCCACCCCGGCCCCGCTCCTAGATCATGGAAAGCTCGCGTATCTTCGGATTTCATTTTTCCATGCACTCAGCAGATGTCTGTTCAGGAGTTATTTGATGAATGTTGTCCACACGCCAGGAGCCCAGCGTGCAGGCGTGGGGGCGGGGTGTGAGGGTGTGTGTGGGATGGGGGTGTTCAGAGAGGGTAGCACAGGGGCTGGGGCCCCGGGAGGGGGCGTGGGGGGACAGAAGCCACAGTGCGGGCCTGGGGTTGACAGATCTGCGAGGCTCAGGCAAAGAAAGAAGGCGGAGCTGGGAGGTTGGGGAGGTCCCTGGAGCCATAGCACAGCGGGAAGGACATTTGCCTTGCACGTGGGCAAACTGGGTTCGATTCCCGGCATCCCCTCCAGTAGTAATTCCTGAGTGCATGAGCCAGGAGACAGCCCTGAGCATTGCCGGGTGGCACCCAAAAAGCAATGGGCGGTGCGGGGAGGACCCCCACCCTGCTTGCAGGGTGCTCCCTGACCTGCCCAGCAGCATTGCAGACACCTGTCAGTCTGTCCCAGCCTGGATGCCCAGGCCCTGGCGACGGTGTCGCTGACCGGCTTGGGGTTCCTGGGGACAGTGTTATGTATGGCCCAGCCCACCGTGTCCCAGCTCCCAGAGGTCCATATCTGTGACTGATCTCTTCCGGAATGGCATCTGAGACACCTCCCCTCGTTTTCTGCGCTACGGGCCCCCCCCCCCTTTTTTTTTTTTTTTTGCTTTTTGGGTCACACCTGGCAATGCACGGGGGATACTCGTGGCTCATGCACTCAGGAATCGCTCCTGGCGGTGCTCAGGGGACCCTATGGGATGCTGGGAATCGAACCCGGGTCGGCCGCATGCAAGGCAAGCGCCCTCCCCGCTGTGCTATCGCTCCAGCCCCGCTCCGGGCCCTTAAGCCCCACCCTGGTCCCCATGGGAAAGATCAACTGGAGCATCTGGGTCAGTTAAGGGCGAGAGGGCGGGTTCCGGGCCCACCAATCAGAGCGCGCGCGCCCTTATAAGGCGCTGAATATGCATTTATGCAAATACGGGTTGGTAGGACAGCCAATCGGAGAGTGCGGACCCCACTGGGGTGGGCGCTATGCTAATGACGGCCTGCAAGACAGCCAATAGGATCGTTTTGCTTGTCTGGTCCCTCCCCCTCCACTTCCTCTGTCAGAGGTGCAGGGCCCCGCCCGGCTTTGTTTTTTTTTTTTTTGTTTTTTCTTTTGCGCATCACAGCGGGTGATGCTCAGGGCTGACACCTCTGGGCTCTGCACTCAGGAACCACTCGAGGGACCCTGTGGGATGCTGGGGATCGAACCCGAGTCAGCTGTGTGCAAGGCAAATGCCCTACTCGCTGGACTGTAGCTCCGATCCCTCTCTGCACTTTTTAAAAATTTTTTTTTGGAGAGATGTAGAATGTGGGGTTAGGTGGTAGGCATCTGTTATGTTTCTTGTGCTTTTTTTTTTTTTTTTGGCTCTTTGGGTCACACCTGGCCATGCACAGGGTTTCTTCCTGGCTCTGCACTCAGGAGTTACTCCTGGCGGTGCTCAGGGGACCCTATGGGATGCTGGGAATCGAACCCGGGTCAGCTGCGTGCAAGGCAAACGCCCTACCCGCTGTGCAGCCCCTGTTTCTTGTGCTTTTAATCTGTACTTTCTACCTGAACATCTTGTATGCCTTATTTATTTTCCATACATCTTCTTTGTCGAAGGGTCAGTTCAAGCCTTTTGCCGGTGTTTCGTTGGGCTTGTTTTCTTGCAACTAGAAAGTTTAACTTAGGGGCTGGAGCGATAGCACAGAGGGTAGGGCGTTTGCCTTGCACATGGGCCGACCTGGGTTCGATTCCCATCATCCCATAGGGTCCTCTGAGCACCGCCAAGGGTAATTCCTGAGTGCAGAGCCAGGAGGAACCCCTGTGCATTGCCGGGTGTGACCCAAAAAGCAAAAAAAAAGAAAAAAGAAAGTTCAATGTAGCCCTTTTTAATGGATAATTTGGAGCTGTTTTCTCCAGGCTCGTTGCTTGTCTTTTTATTAATGCTTTTGCAGGAGTAGAAAGTTCTGGTTTTGTTGTAGTCCCGTTTATCAGCATGTTGTCGTTATTGTTGTTATTTGGGGCACATCTGGCAGTGTTCCAGCTCTTCCTGGCTCCGCTCGGGAGTGACCCCTGGTAGTTCTCTGAAGCCCGTACTTGGGTGCGGGGGGTCGAATCTGGATGGGCCACAAGACAGGGCGTGCACCGGCTCCTGAGAGACGCCAAAGCCGGCGTGTGAAGATGTCCTCAAAGTTGTCTTTTGTAAAACTTGGCCAGTTTGCAGTTTTGCCCATAGACCTCGGATTGGTCTGGAGTGAGTTTCAGTGCAGGGGCGGATCCCAGGTCACGGGTGGGCCTGGCTCTCCTCGGTGTGGAGTCCCCTGAGGGGCGTGTGCTGGTATGAAGGCAGCCGGTCCCTCAGGACCTTCTCAGAACACATCGGACTTGGCAACCTCATACTTCTCCTTAACCCCCCAAGTTGCTATTAGTGAACTCTCTGGAACTGTGATGTGCGGGGAAGGGAAGGGTGTGACAGCAGAAGGATGCTGGGCCAAGGCTCATGGCATCCATCCCCTCTCCGCTGGCCGGCGCTTCTTAGTTTGGGACGCGGATGGCCTTGGGGGTGGGGGCTAGGCCTGGCTCCTCAAGGCGATGGCCCATGACACCAGCAGGCGTGCAGGGTGCAGGTGATGGGGCCATGTGTGCCTGTTTGTGACGTGTGCTAAGAAGGAGAAGGCCGGGGCTGGATCAATAGCACAGCAGGTAGAGCATTTGCCTTGCATGCAGCCGACCTGGGTTCGATTCCCGGCATCCCATATGGTCCCCCAAGCACCGCCAGGAGTCATTCCTGAGTGCATGAACCAGGAGTCACTCCAGTGCATTGCCGGGTGTGACCCAAAAAGCAAAAAAAAAAAAAAAGAAAAAGTAGAAGGTCCCTGAAGGGGGGAGCCTGTGGTGGAAGTCGGGAGAGGGCGTTTCTCCAGCGCGGGGGTGCTTGCCTGGCTGCCCTGTTCAACTGGGTACTCCCGCTCGGTGCTTCGAAGACTCAAGGGAAAACGTGGCCCCGGCCCAGGGCACAGACCCCGCTCTGCAGAGCCCGGGCCCCGCCCCAGGGTGTGTTGGTACAGGCTGTGCTGCAGCTGCCCGGTTTGCTCAGCCTCGCTCGGTCCACGGAGAGTTTGCGGTGTTGCCAACTAAAGCAAACCTCACACCAGTCAGAGGCCCGGAGTCCGGCGGGAGCGCCACCCGCCTCGTTGCATCCTCACCCCGGGCTCTGGGGACCAGGCCTCCGCGCCGAGCACGCCCACTTCCTCTGGGAAGGAGAAGATGCTTCCAGGAAAGAGCTCTCCCTCCGGAAGCTCGAGGAGGAGGAGGAGGAGAGGAGGAAGCTTCTCACAGAGGACAAGAGGGGAAGACCCTCCCAGGACCCTCCCAGGACCCTGGGAGCAGAGCTGCTGGAATGCAGAGAAGGTTCTGGAAGTGAAAGGACTCTGCTTGAGAAGCCGGAGCTCGGGCTGGAGCAGTAGCACAGCAGGGAGGGCGCTTGCCTTGCGTGCAGCCGACGCGGGTTCGATCCCCGGCGTCCCATATGGTCCCCGAGCACTGCCAGGAGTGATTCCTGAGTTGCAGAGCCAGGAGGGAGCCCCCTACCCCCCAAACAAAAGAAGCTTGAAGCTCAACCTGCAGGAGAAATCAAAACATAGGAGCGCCCGGAGCAGAGTTGATCCCTCTAGGGGCTGGAGGATGCCTCGAGGACCCAGACCCGGCCTCCCGCTCCCGCTGGCCCCTGAGCACAGAGCCTGGAATGAAGCGTCTCCCGAGCAGCGTAGTTCATAGTCGGCATGAGCAGGGTGCTTTGTTTGTTCCTTAAGTGCCTGTCGCAGTCTAGGGAAGGAACACGCTGATGGACGCCTCGATGACCAGGGTTTGGATGGACCTTGGTCACTAACCACCCGCCCCTCCCAGGAGGCGCCCTTACTTGGAGAAGGAACTTCTCTTCCAGCCTCGACCTGCGTTTTTCGAGTCCACGTAGACCCAGAAGCACCTTCTCCCAAGCTGGGGCCAGGGGCTCGGACCCCCCAGCCCACCCCACCCCAGCACCTCCGTGTCCCCCAACCAGGGGACCTGCAGGCTGCTGTGCCGCCTCCGGCCAGCAGGGGGCGGAGCACAGGCCCCGCCCCGCCCCGCCCCGCCCCTCTTCGCCCCGCCCCGCCCGGCCTGCGGCGTCACTTCCGGGGCGGGTTCTGTTGGGAGTTGGCGGCGGCCACGTGTGCGCGCGCGCGCGCGCGCGCATCGGGCAGCGCGTCCAGCGCGTCCAGCGCGTCCAACGCTCGACGGAGCCCGGCCGGGCCATGGCGGCGCCGCTGAAGCTGGAGCGGGACGTGCAGGGCAAGGTGGACTCGTTCCGGGCCCGCATCGCGCGGGAGGCCGAGGACCTGGTGTCCACCTTCTTCCCGCAGAAGCTGTCCGAGCTGGACAGCCGCGTGCAGGAGCTGCGCCTGCAGGACCTGGGCCGCATCCGCTCGGTGCCCGCGGCCCCCGCCGCCCCGGCCACCCCCGGCCCCGCCCCGGACACGGCCGGGGACGGGCCGCGGCGCGGGGGGGACCCGCCGCTGGGCCCCGCGCTGCTGCCCGCCGAGGCCGCGCCGCTGGCCAGCAACCAGCACCTGGTGGCCCTCATCGAGCGCGTCAAGCCCGAGATCGAGCTGCTGCGGGAGAAGTGCAACACGGTGCGCATGTGGGTGCAGCTGCTGATCCCGCGCGTGGAGGACGGCAACAACTTCGGCGTGTCCATCCAGGAGGACACGGTGGACCAGCTGTGGACGGTGGAGAGCACGGCCGCCTCCTACCTGCGCCGCTTCTCCACCTACTACAACACGCGCGCCAAGCTGGTGTCCAAGATGGTCAAGTACCCGCAGGTGGAGGACTACCGGCGCACGGTGGCCGAGGTGGACGAGAACGAGTACCTGAGTGTCCGCCAGATCCTCCTGCACCTGCGCAACCAGTACGCCACCCTGCATGACGTCATCGTGAAGAACATCGACAAGATCAAGACCCCCCGCAGCGCGCACGCCGAGGAGCTGTACTGAGCTGGGCACCCACCGCCGGGCACCGCCGGTCGGGCCTGGACCCGGCCCGGCCTCCCTCCGCCGCCCCGAGCCGCTCCAGCTGCTCCTTTTCCAAATTCTCCCTTTTGTTCCTTTATTTTTTTGGCTTTTTTTTTGCAAGGTCACTGTAGGTCTGCACCTCCTGAGCTTAATCGCTTCATCACTTAACTTCCCGTTAGTCGTCGCCAGTAACGAACCTCCCCGTTTGTCCCTGTCGCGGGCCAGTGTAGCCCAGTGGCATCTGTTCGCTCCGGGAACTCGGAGAGCCTCAAACCCATCGTTCATGATCTTGACGAAGAAGTCTGACCATCTGGAAGGTGGGCGGCCACCCGGTCTTTCGACACCCCGTGGGATCCAGTGGGTAACGGCTCTAGCCCAGCGGTCGCCTTTGAGTCTCATGACGTGACCGGCCCATCTGATTTTTGACGCCTTGGCACACGAGACGGCGTCCCAGGTTCTTGATCGTCGACGGATGTCGGAACTCCGGATTCTTTCCCTCGTTTGAGTGAACCGTGATTCTCCAAGCATAGCTCTTTCGATTCTCACCTCCCGAGCAGTGCGAATAAAACTTGGCGAGGTCACGCACCGCCCCCTGGACTGAGATTGCTTCTGTGCCTGCCAGGGTGCCCACGCCGGCCACGGGGACGCTGGGGAGCCCGGCGTCCTCCTCCACGGCCTGCAGGATTTTGTCCTCGTTTGCTAAACACCCAACATGGGTCCTTCCTTGCGACTGGCCCTGGGTCCCCGCAGTCAGGGCAGGGGAGAGACGGATATCCCTGGTTTTTTTTCCACCTGGTACCTGAACCCTCTATGGAGTGATGATTTTTCTTTTCTTTTCTTTTTTTTTTTTCTTTTTGGGTCACACCCAGGGATGCTCAGGGCTGAGTCTTGGCTCTGCACTCAGAAATCACTACTCCTGACGGTGCTCAGGGCACCATCTGGGATGCTGGGGATTGAACCCGGGTCAGCCGCGTGCAAGGCAAACGCCCTCCCCGCTGTGCTATTGCTCCAGCCCCGATTATTATTATTATTTTTCTTAAATAGACTTCACATCAGTTTCTAGCACATATTCACTTTCGGAGGCCAGTCTCCCCCAAAATGACCCATTCCCATTCATTCCCAGGGCCCTTGCCCTGCTCACTCAGTCTGAGCACCCAAGGTTTGGTTCTGCACATCCCTTGGTCCAACGCCCTCATACTTTACAGAACACAGTTGGGGCTGGAGTGATAGCACAGTGGGGAGGGTGTTTGCCTTGCACGCGGCCGGCCCAGGTTCGATCCCCGGCAACCCGTAGGGGTCCCCCGAGCACCGCCAGGAGTGATTCCTGAATGCGGAGCCAGGAGTCAGCCCTGAGCATCGCCGGGTGGGACCCAGAAGGCCAAAAAAATACCAAACCACTCAACTTTGGGATGTTGCACATTTTGAAATGATGTCATTATTTATAGTTTCTGAGAAGCAGCTTCCGGCGGGGGTGGGGGGTGGTCTTTGTGCCGTTTTATTTAGCCTGAAGCACTCCTAGAGCACTGCATGCAGTTGGCAGGGAGTTGCCCACCCCCCACACACGCACACGGTTCCCACTCACAGCCGCGTCTCCGTATGTTGATTGCAGTGCCTGGTGGTCTCCCACAGGGTCGCCATGGCCACGGCCCTCTGTTGTTCCCACGGGTGGCTCCTTGGAGCTCCATTTCCTCCTGGCATCGTGTGGCTGTTGGTGCTTCCTCTGCCCTGGATTCAGAGCCTTGTCCCGGGGAGGGGACTGTCCCTGCTGGTCAGGCCCCTTCCACAGTCCCCTGGACCCCCGACCCACACAGCAGGGCATCAAGGCTTAAGCTGACCAAACCCATGTATCCCCTGAAGCTACCCTCCTCGAGACGTGTATTTTCACGCTTTTGTATCTGATACTGGGAGGTGTGTAGGCTCTCTCTGCCTCTGGAGAAGCCCTGGTTCTCTCTTTTTTTTTTTTTTTGCTTTTTGGGTCACACTCAGCAATGCATAGGGGTCACTCCTAGCTCTGCACTCAGGAATTACCCCTTGTGGTGCTGAGGGGACCCTATGGGATGCTGGGATCAAACCCGGGTCGGCCGTGTGCAAGGCAGATCACTCAGGAGTGATTCCTGAGTACAGAGCCAGGAGGAACCCCTGAGCATCGCTGGGTGGGACCCAAAAAGAAAAAAAAAAAAAGAAAAAAGTTCTTACTAAGCCCCCTCCTTGTGTCGAGGGACAGTCCCCATTAGGGGACAGTGGTGCTTGCCTGGGAATTCCTCTCGGGGCCCTGGAGTGCAGAGGCTAGGGCACTTAGCCTAACACCTGGCTAATCCGAGTTCCATCCCTGGCACCCCATATGGTCCCCGGAGTGTTACCAGGCGTGACCCTGGAGCACAGAGCCAGGAGGCAGCCCTGAGCACCGCCAGGTGTGGCCCTAGTGACAGACACTGCAGTGACGGCCTCTCCCCGGGCCCCGACAGCCAGAGGCAGGCGCTGAGCTGAGTATTTTAAGTCCTGTTTATGGACCGGGGTGTTTCTGTTTCTTGGACTTGCCTGCCGTGGAGTAACTCCACTGACAAGATTCAGCAGGAAATCACGCCGGAAAGCCCATCCTGAAGGGGCTCGGAGGGAGCACTTGTGTCTGTGAGGGGTTTGATCTTCCGCAGCACAAATAAATACACAAGCCCACAAGCGCCTTTGACATGCGAGTGCCCCCGCTGACCGTCCCCGGGCGCCGGGATCTGGGGGTTTATTTTTACAGTTGGCGTAATTGGGGGTTTGGAAGCTTGGTGGGTTTGTGTTTTCGTTCAGTTCGGGGGTGAGGGGGAGGGATTCTAGTGACAGGAATTAAGCCATTTTTCACTTTCCTGGCAACGCACGTCCGCGAATTTTGTTTTTCCCTTGGTTATGGTATGTTATCTTGCAGAAACGGGTGATCTTCGTGTCTGACAATGTACTTAGGACAACAACAGAACGCCCCTCGCTGCATGGCTGGGATTCGCTGGCCTCCCCCTTGGGATGCCCCAGGCCTCCCTGGCGAGCTGGCCGGGCCACGGAGTTCACCCTGCTCCCGGCCTTGCTCCCGGCCCCCAAATTCCCACGCTCCCTCGGCTTCCGTGCGGGCACCAGGCTCCCGGGGCCAGGGCAGCCCAGGTGGGACTCTCTCGCCCTCTGTGTCACCGTGCCCTGGGCCCTGCCACCCCGGAGCATCGAGGTTTTCCTTCTCTCCCGCCGTTGATGGTGTCCGTATCTCTGGTCAAAGGGGAGAAAGTTTACAGAAAGCCGTTGCTAAGATCAAGGCCGAGTGCTCCGTAACTAGAATCCATCCAGATGGTCGACACTTTTCCAAAACACACAAACCCGCCCTTCCCGGAGCCAAAAATTCCTCGGGGCTCGTTCTTACTCATGAGTGATTGGTCGGAAGCCAGAAACCTCGGGGCCTGAGAATGGCCCCTCGGTCCCAACACGGCATCGTGGCACACCCGGCCCCCCCCACCCCGCCCAGTGTCTCCATGAGACGGACACCATGTAAAGGCTGCTTTCCTGGGCACCTGACCTGCACGTGCACACACACATGAACGCGGACATGTGAATGCACACTGAGGTGCACACACGCATGAACACGGCGTGCCCGCTTTGCAGGAGAGAGGGTCGAGTAGGCCAGTACTTCGGGGCAGCGTTTCTCTTCTTTAAGAAAGTCTCGGGGCTGGAGCAATAGCACAGCGGGGAGGGCGTCTGCCTTGCACGCGGCCACCCCGGGTTCGATTCCCAGCATCCCATATGGTTCCCCCGAGCACCGCCAGGAGTAATTCCTGAGTGCATGAACCAGGAGTCACCCCTGTGCAATGCCAAGTGGGACCCAGAAAGAAAAAAATAAATAATAAGAAAGTCTGGCCAGGCGGGAGAGATGGAACCGTGGGGAGGTGCCTGCCTGACCTCCTGATGATTCCCGGGACCCTGTCGGGAGTGGAGTGACCCTTGAGCATTGCTGGGTGTGGCCCCCGAACAACAAAGACAAGAAGTCTCCATGGAGCAGGGGCAGGGCCGCTGGCGATGCTTGGTTGGGGACACGCTCCTGGACAGCCCCACACGCTGGACACTGCCCAGCCCCCTGCATTCCCAGAATCCGCTAACGCCCGCTCAGCTGGCGGGGCACCCTGCTGGGGCCGGCCTCTGCGTGACCTCTGCTCTCCTCACCCCTAGGACCACCTGCTGCTGCCAGCCACCACCCACAACAAGACCAGCAGGCCCAAGATGTCCATTGTGCTGCCCGCGGTGGGCGTGAACGGTGAGTGGGCGTGGTCTCAGGGGATCTGGGTTCTTATTGGTTGTCAGGCGGGCGGGTGGGCGAGGTCTCGGAGGGCTCTGTTTTTATTGGATGTCAATGAGTGGGCGTGACCGGTGAGTGGGCGTGGTCTCTGAGGGATCTGGGTTCTTATTGGATGTCAGGTGGGCATGAATGGTGAGTGGGTGTGGTCTCAGTGATCTGGGTTCTTATTGGCTGTCGGGTGGGCGTGGTCTCGGGAGTCTATTGGATGTCAATGAGGGCGTGACCGGTGAATGGGCGTGGTCTCTGAGGGATCTGGGTTCTTACTGGATGTCAGGTGGGCATGAATGGTGAGTGGGTGTGGTCTCAGTGATATGGGTTCTTATTGGCTGTCGGGTGGGCGTGGTCTCCGAAGTCTGTTTTTATTGGATGTCAATGAGTGGGCGTGACCGGTGAATGGGCGTGGTCTCTGAGGGATCTGGGTTCTTATTGGATGTCAGGTGGGCGTGAATGGTGAGTGGGTGTGATCTCAGTGATCTGGGTTCTTATTGGCTGTCAGGTGGGCGGGTGGGCGTGGTCTCGGAAGTCTGTTTTTATTGGATGTCAATGAGTGGGCGTGGCCGGTGAATGGGCGTGGTCTCTGAGGGATCTGGGTTCTTACTGGATGTCAGGTGGGCGTGAATGGTGAGTGGGTGTGGTCTCAGGGATCTGGGCTCTTATTGGCTGTTAGGTGGGCGTGACAGGTGGGTGGGCGTGGTCTCGGAGGGATCTGTGTTTTCGTTGGATGTCAATGAGTGGGCATGACCGGGTGAGTGGGCATGGTCTTCAAGGGATCTGGTTCTTATTGGATGTCAGGCGTGAACCGCGAGTGGGCTCTTATTGGATGTCAGGTGGGTATGATTGGTGAGTGGGCGTGGTCTCTGAGGAATCTGGGTTCTTATTGGGTGTCAGGTGGGCGTGAGTGGTGAGTGGGCGTGGTCTCTGGGGGATCTGGGTTCTTATTGGATGTCAGGTGGGCGTGAACGGTGAGCGGGTGTGGTCTCAGGGATCTGGGTTCTTATTGGCTGCCAGGTGGGCGTGATAGGTGGGTGGGCGTGGTCTCGGAGGGATCTGGGTTTTTATTGGATGTCCATGGGTGGGCGTGACCGCGGAATGGGCGTGGTCTCCGAGGGATCTGGGTTCTTATTGGATGTCAGCGAGTGGGCGTGAACAGTGGGTGAGGAACCTGCCCCCCCTTGGACATCGGTGGGTGATGTGAGTGATTGGCAGTGGGCGTGGTCTCCGGGGGATGTGGGTCCTCATTGGATGACCCCTGGATGGGCGTGGTCCCGAGGGACCTGGATTTCCTTTTTTTTTTTTTTTTTTTTTTGCTTTTTGGATCATACCCGGCAATGCACATGGGGTTCCTCCTGGCTCTGCACTCAGGAGTTACTCCTGGCGGTGCTCAGGGGACCCTATGGGATGCTGGGAATCGAACCCGGGTCGGCCGCATGCAGGGCAAACGCTCTACCCGCTGTGCTATCACTCCAGCTCCGGGACCTGGGTTTCTTGCTGGACGGGGTCAGTCCAGAGGGTCTCGATCACAGGCATAGGGTGGGGATGACCCGCTGCCTCTCCACGCACTCGCTCGGGAATTGTTTCCACCGTCTTTACAGCGTATCGAAAAGCCCCTTCTGACGGCAAGAGTCGCTCTTTTCCCAGCGAGGAGGTTCACTTTTCGAGTCGCTTTTCAAGGAACCGTTTGCTCAGCTGCAAGTATTAGCAGATGCTGACGGTTCTGGCTCCTGGCGGTGCTGGCCTCTGCCGCCGCGGGGCCTGGGAGGCAGGTTCTGGCCACTCCCGACGGTTCCCACATTCCTGCAGGCCCAGAGCAGACTTCGGGGCTGCCAAGCCGCCGTCTGCCGCGCAGACAG